TTCGAATGTCCCTGTCACTGACCTGTGTCGTCTCGAGGGGTGAATGGAAGCTTTTAGCGGTGCGGGGGTGGCGTGATTGGGGGCCGAGAGGCACCTGGGCGGAGGCAGGGGTCCCTAGAGGTTGCCGAACCTAAGTCGCTGCCCATCGAAGTCCCCGTACTCGTAGTTAAAATGAACCCCCAAAGACCTGCAGCCAGACCACCAATGACCTTCCAAGGGTCTCCATTTCCCCATCTTGCTCAATCTGCGGCTGTTGCCATCATCGTTTCTCTCACTGCGATCCCACCTTTTCTTCTATCGCGTTCCTTGTTTCCGGGCACTAAGGTCCCTGCTCCCACTCGCTTTCTTTTGCGCATGGTCCTACGCTCCTTCGCACGTTGCGCATCAACAGTTGCCAAGAAGACTTTGAGCCGTGGCTCTGGTCGTAATGAAATAACCAGCCAGCAACTATGTGGTAAGGCTGGTGACACCTGTGGTCCCTGCATCCTTGCTCACATTCTGCAGACGATATCCTCGATCGACTGCGTACCAGCCTTCCTGCTCCAAACACTTGCGACATTATCGATATCAACCCCGGACAAGGCATATGGTCCAAGAGCTTGCACCGTATCATTCAACCTAGACGCCATGTCCTTGTCGAGTCCAATCTGGAAAAATACGCGGAGCATCTCCAACCCTTGTTGACGAGCCAGAGCTCAGCATATCGGCATTCGACCGTTCTTGAGGACGTGTTTGACCCAACAAAACAACTATTGACTCAAAATGAGGTCGAAAAAGCTGCTTCTGTCGGGAAGCAAACCGAATACAACAGATGTTTGTTGATGACGGTCAATCTCTCGGGGGCAAAGGTCAGCATTGGCGGGTATATGGGATCACTGAGCCGAAAATTCTTTGATGAGCTCTATCTGTCGGTGCTTGCCAGTCCTCATAATGGCTTCTTTCGCTATGGTCTGATCCGGGTTTTGGCATGGATTCCTGATCACGAGAAAGATTCTTATATTCCCCGGACCGTGCACGCGCGCCACAAGCAGACCATCATGCTTGAAGCAACCACCGAGATTGCCGAGGTAGCTGGTGCGTCAGCAGCAACAAAGTCAACCAGGTACAGGAAATGGCCTGATCTTGAGTTGGAAGAAATAGCGGTAATCAACGCCAGAGCCAAAGATTCGGGGTATAAGATGCCAAAGTCGAGGCTTGACGCGCCTCCACCGCGGGAGTTACTCAGTATTGAGCCTACTCCTCGAAATTTGCGGAAAGCGGACTTCACCTCGGACGCAGAGTGGGTGCCCAGACTACTCGAATTAGACAGCCACATAAAGAAGAAGTATCCGCATTGGTATCGAAAATATGCTTTGGGACAGTCGATTCGCAAACTGGGCCTGAAGACACCCCTTCAGAAAGAATGGGGGGAGCTTCTCCGGCGGGCAAATACTACACACAAGACCCATATGAAAGCTGTCGAATTGGTTAACCAAGAAAGAAAATTGGTATCGGATTGGAAACGTGAGATATCCAATGCCCAGGGCAAACCCATCGATCCCGACACCGAGCTATCGCTTCAGAAGCGTGCTGAAACCATCAAGGAGAAGCTAAAGGCATTGAACCGGACGAACAGAATCTTTGCGGAAAAGGCTATCGACGACTGTAGAGCTTGGGATATGTCACCACCTATTCTAGCCTGGAATCGTCGGGAAGCTCATCCTTTGACCGTTTACAATGGCGAATTCGATGCTCCGAACCGCCAAATGGCTCTGCTGGATGTGATTCCACGAGGAGATTTAATCCTCAAAGTCAACACTTATGATAAGATGGTATGCTTCCGCCATATTGTCACCACTCTCTCTCTATACCTCTCCAGGAGTGTCGCTGAAGCGTTGAGGGCTCTGGTACATGAAGGGCTAGACGAGTTTGTTAAGACCATCCCAGGGATTCATGATCCTACCAAGGGAGGGTGGTATGATCTGACCACCTTGAGAGTGAGAGTCTTGCCAACAGACATGTTCGTGGAGATCGGGTTGGCTTATGAGAAGTGGCCGTTTCGCATGAGCACAGAGGCTATCCTCATGACAACAGCAGATCCAACAGCCGGATATAGTGGTCAAGATGATGATATGAAATGATCCACCAGGTGGTGGCTGTATTAAAATACTGTATAGTATATGCGAGTATGCCTCGCCTTGGGCAACAGCAGGTGGACTATTAATGACAGCTGCCTTTGTCCATTCCGTTTCTGCAGACTCCCCTTCGCCCTGCAACCACGCTCCTTGTGTAAGATGTCGCCGCAGCAGAGCGAGGTGTTTATCCGAACAGCTGGGCAAGAACATCGTTTGTAGTCATGACCGTGGCAAACTCGCCCTCCAGACTAGCGAGATGGACCTTTTGCACAGTCTCGGCATCAAACCCTCCTTTGTTGAAACAGGCGGTCGCATCGCTGAGGATGACGATCGTGCCATTTTCACCTCTTTCATCTTCCCGTCGCTCGCCCTGCCCGGGCCTCTTCTTGACCACACCCAAATCCTTTGCCCACCGCACGCTCGTCGTCACGCAGTGGTCCGTCGCTATCCCAGCCACGACGAGCTGCTCGATACGCCCCCGTTCGAGGATCTCTTTCAGCTCGGCGTTGCCGAACGCCGTGTTTGTCGATTTGGGGAGGACGTGTTCACGGGGGAGAGTGGCAGATTCGCTCGACTCCATCGCCGTCACTGGCTCCGCGCACGGCATGAACTTTATCCCGTCAATCTGCGTCGTGCCCGAGACGTGCAGCGGTGACAAAGGGTTCGTCGATTTGTGGTATACATGCACGATTTCCACCGCGTAGGGCTCCCTTTTGGAGTCGTTATCGGCTCCCTCCTCGACGTTCGGGGCTCCGTTTGAGGCCGAATGCACGGGTGGGGGTGAAGTAGAATGATCTTCCACCTGTCCGTGCGACCTGCTTACTCGTACTCGTACTTGTGCGCTGGAATTATATTCCCTGGCCGCGGCGAGCAGGGCTGAGACATTCTTCTCAAAATCGGGTGTCGACCGCTCACTGCCAAAGTAGCCGTTGTGGGTGTTCAGGCCGCGTTGGATGTCGATCAAGAGCAACGTGGTGCGGGTCTCTGACGCGGGCGAGAGGTGGCGACGGAGTGGTGGTGATGTCGATCCGGTGGACGACATTGTCTTTTTCGTCTTGGTTCTCTCAAATGGGATCGCGCTGTCGTTGATGCGTGGGTGCGTGGTCTGGTGGCGCTCTTAGTTGTAGGCGATATCGGTTTGGACAGGCACCAGGTCGAAACCGCTCCTCCATAAAACGTCATTCGCTGTGCCGTTTTTTCTTCAGGACCAGGTGAAGAGCGAGAACAAACTGATGCCGGCGATACAAGGTTCGCGAAAAAGACCCGAGGAAAATAAAAACAAGAGCAAAACCCGAAATTGGGAACCACCTACATATCTATATCTATATCTACATACCTAGGTATGTCAGGCATATAGTATGCTTCTGTGAGAGGAAGAGCCAAGCACTCCCTTTCAAAACGGGCGTCTGCCTGCTAGAAGATCGTGCGATGCGTCCAATGAGACCGCAAGGGATCCGAGCAACGAATACGCTGGTAACAAGGCGTGAAAAGGCCGATGAGGCCGCCTGCGTGTCTGTAAACCTCTGGAAATGGTTGGATGAGAACTGGGTGGGGAAGAGAGGAGAGGAAAAGACACGCAGCCGGTGACCTTCTCTGGCCTACAAAAGGGAATTAGACTGAAGGTGAAAGATGTTTAGAGGATGCTTAGATAGAGTGGGTATTGTAGATCGCGTAGAATGCTCAGTAGATACCTGCATATGATGGCACAAACGCAGCCTTGCGTGTGGTGCTGGGGCCGATGAAGCCAGTTCGATAATACTGTAGTAAACTGGATGCAGATGTTTGTTCTCGAACACTGGAAACAAAGAATCCTAGCCGCCTCTCTCTCGTTACCATCTCCTAGGGACCACGAGAGCTCGCCGACATACACAGAAATCAATTGGGATAGGATGGAAAACCCCGATACCGAACATGGCAAAAGCCTCGCGGCGCCTCCATTTCGGGAGATGCGGCCGCAGGCACCCACAACTGTTCGTCCGTCTTGATGACACGAGCTTGGAACAAGTTTGAAGCTCTTCGTCGTGGCCAAGTGGCTGTCAGCAACGGCCTGGATCTTGTGCAACTGGTGTTGGGAGCTGGCCCTGTGAGGGATGCAACCATATACTCTGTCCGGGGCAGAAGGCATTTCCTAGCAGTAAATAGCAAGTAAGAAGCCTCATCACCACCCTTGATTCCAGGTCGACAACGAATTAGAATATTCAAGACGGAGTGCTCTGAATAGGTTCGCATCAAGATTTGGTCGACCGGGAGCAGGAGCGGCAGGAGCAGCAAAACCTGCCGAGTAGAACACCACCTTCGGAACGTTGGTGCCTCTAAAGGACAAGAGACGTGTGTGGAATCTCCTCTCAAAGGGACGTCGCGGCAGTCCCAAGTACTCCCAGATGACGAATGGAAGATGGGTAGACTCAGCATGCTTTCGGCCTTTAGCCGCGGCGTTCTCCAGACACGGCTGCGAGGCAGTAATGCTTTATTGCGCTCTCTGTGTCTCTGAAACATCACGAAGCCCAAGACTAAATATATCAAACACAGTGTGCCGCACTGGTCAATGTGGACGAGCCTGGGTTTTTGTGTGCTGCAGATTGGTTCTCGATTCGACATCTCAGACAAACCGCTAATTTTCCACCGGTAGAAAATGAAGTTGCACCTCCAAAGTTTTGAAGTTTTGTGAGTGGCTGACGTGAGGCTTCGAGGAAAGACCACTGGCAGGCTGGCTTTGACAATCGCATTGGGTAACCATAGGCATGGGCTGGGTGGGCATCAAGTATATAAACTGAGCCCGACGCAGGACTCACCTCTGATGTAGCTAGCAAGCGGGCAAGCAATTCACTTTTTCTCATACCAGCACTCGTTCCCATATTCGAAACCCCTCGAGAGCTCGCTGCCGCCATGTGGTTCTTCAAAAAGCTTCTCCCAGCACTGCTCCTCGTCCCAGCTTTGGGTCTCGCGTCACCCTTACCAAACCCGGTGGCAGCGCCCCAGTCTTCGGAAGACACGGACCAGATCACCTGCTTTGAGTATGGGAGCGGATTGGTCACCGCCCAACAAGCCACCGACCTCGTCAACGAGTTTAACCGCATTGTCTGCCAATCCAACCCGAACGCACCCATCTCGCTCAACCCCTTAGAGGGAGTGTCAGTCGATGACCCATCGGGAACAATCATCTTCCAGAATACCTTGAATACGGTCGCCACACCACCCAGTTGTGGTGAAGTGGTCAGTGACTTCCAGAAGCTGTTGGATCAGTGTTTCACTGGGAGGGGCAGCTATGGTGGTGTCTTAATCGAGACTGCTGGCGGGGGAAGGACCTCGTACGTTATCAAGTCGCCATGAACCAGAGCAGATCAAGCATTGGAGGGTGAGGAAGCAGAAGTGTACGGTGATAAGGCAGACGATGGGCAGCCGGCGCCATAGATGCGAGACGTCAGATCTACAAATTCACCTTTCATCTCTGTCTGTTCCAGCTCTCCGAGGGTGCGGAGGCAAAGGTTGTTGAGTTTCAACATCGGACGTCTTTGAAAAAGTCTTTGAATTGATGGTCGGTGAGAATGGCGGTCGTAAATCTGGTGTTCCACCTGATGGCATCTAGATCACAACCAATATATCATGCTTGACATAACCAATGATTGAGTTGATAACAGCAACAGGGTCTCAGCGTGTGCTTTGAAATAACGGGTGCTTTCTTTCGCTTAGCAGAGGCTTGACGTGGCCCGTTGTTCGACCAGATACGAAAAGGTTCTTGCGATACAAGCGATCTGACAGTGACGATGATGAGTGAGCGAGAGCGGTCCTGGAGGTCAAGGTAGAAGTAGCGGGATTGCAATTCAAGGAAAAGGGGTGCTGCTGCTCTAAGACAACAGCACAAACTCGCCAAGGCTGTACCTCTTCTGAGAACGTGTATCACGCTGCTATTAGCTGATGATTCAGTCTCCATTGAATCGCCGCGCCCTTTTGAGGTACTCGATGTTCATCACATCATACCCTCTTGAATATGTGCACCATGGCTTGCTCAAATGCTAACACAGCGGTGTCCGATTGCTTCGTTGATGGACCCAGTGTCAAGCGGGCAAGAGTGCGGTAAGGTCTAACCTTGGACAAGCCAGTCTCCCAGTTTATGGCCTCTCACACTTACAACGGATACACCTACTTCGTTCAGTTTATCGTCCTGTCACGCAACAGCCTCTCGTACCTGCCCAGACTCGAACCTCATTTCCCCCTCGTGACCAAGCCCAAAATGTAAGTGGTCGATGCAAGCCATGACTGCAAATGGGTGATTGATTAGGCTGGAAAGGGCTGGGCCAAGCCGGCCTGGACGCAGCCACAGAACAACAAGTGTCTACTCTCAGCCTCATCAACAGAAACTAGGCACCCCTAATTGCCCCTTGAGCAATGCCTGGCTCTGTCAAAAACCTCGCCATGGATAACGATTTGTCTGGTCGAACAAAGATATTCCGCTCGCTCCTCCCGGAGCACGGCTCACGTTCTGGGTAAGAGCTGGATACGATAGACTGCGAGTGTGGTCTTCTCCAAGCTCGCCTGTGGAAAGTATTGCGCATTTCTATTTCCCTCTTCATAATGTCTAGCCAGGGTCGCTTGAGGAACAGATACTCCTTGGGCCGCCTCCGAGAAAAATTCCACTGGCGGTCACGTCCACGGTCGGGTGACAATGTTGTGGAGAGGATGCCAAATGTGCCAACAACAATTGGCATAGATGGTAGCCAGGCTTCCAATGAGGGAACCCTACAATCTTATCAAGCTGATGATCATGCTCTTGATGTCTCCAATCAGGCCAGGTAATCTCACGCATCGTCACAGGCATACGCGGCTCTGACACATATCAGCCCTAGACAGAACATCCGTCCCTCAACAGACGACCAAGTCCGAATCAACGTCTCTGGTCTTAAGAAACCTGGATGTGCTGATCTGACGAGTGAAGAAATCCTCATTGGAAAGAGTGAAGAAGTCTATCAACTCATTGAGATACTCAAGCGCCGAGGTATGTGAATGTACCGACTCGTTGACGAAAACCTGACGTGATCGGCGCTGAAACCGACTGCCTCACAGGATATACCGATATCTGTGGCTTTCAAGGCGTGTCTTCCCGCTCCCCATCCGTAGGCCCAATCACCGGTCTCGACTGCGATCTCCCGGTTGAGGTCGTGACTGGGGAACCATGCTATTCGCTCTCGAAAGGTCTGAAAATCAACGCGGACCAGACTCTTATCGATTTCTATGATCAATTCGTGTCTGGACCCCGCTATGCAGCTTCGCCTATTTCGTCTACCGTTTGCTCGGACAGCATCCTCATCCGAGATGCGAGAGATTGTGATGCTGCCAAGGGGCTGGAAATCAAGTTTCACCGAACTCTGCGAGCACCTGATGATGGCAAGATTTACCCACTGTCGACAGATTTCGGGCAGATCAAAATGCTTCCCGTGGCAAGCTTGTCAACAAAACTACCGCCAGACACGAGCGCAACGGGCTGGGCCTTGTTTCCACTCTATCAGCGGGAGGCGGTTGTGGTTCATTTCGACCGAACAATCTCAGGGTGGATGGATCCTGAAGCCCCTGCGACTTTCGCCATCAGAGCATTTGAGGGACATATAAATTGTGTTACCGGCCGCCCCGAGTCATTCGCCAACAACACTTCTGTCCAGGATTCTGTTCAGGATTATGTTGTCTTTCCCCTCCAACAACGTCTCGATGGCTGTGTATCTCAGTCCGGTGGGACCAATCAGTTCGTCTCCCTGCCACTGGGATCGAACAGCAGATCTCCATCGCAAGCTCCTACGAAAATTTTGCGATTCCAAGTGGCACCAAGGTATCCAGATGGCTGCAACTTCATTATGGGCGATAAAAAGTCTCCTGGCTTGGACATTCACGCAACTCCAAACCAACTAAGGCTCAATGTTGGAACATCAATCAAGATGGGTGGAAGTCCGCATTGCCAGCGGAGACTGAAGGAGACTGCCTACAGGACCGCTTCTCTGGAGCTTTTCAAGAACGAGGATCTATACCCCTTCCCCAAAGACCACTGTCGGCCTACGTATATCTGGGAGCTCAAAAGCCTGACTGCGGGCGAAGACTTGCAACAGCCAAAAGGAACTTGGTACATCAGCTCGGTGGGAAGTCTTTGGCTATCAGCTGACTGGCAATCCTTTGGTATTTCTGGAAAACCAAACACCACCATCCATATATCTCCATTCCACAATTTGCAAAGTTTCAGAGCTCGGATCAAATCTCGATTGCCGCAAGAAAGCCCGGCCTTCGATCATAACAAGCTCGCGATTAATGGAAACGTCCTTCTGGAAGACCCTGATATCTGTAGGATAGTCCAACAAGGCCTCCGCTTCAACGGCCCTGCGGGGATCCTCACTCTGACCAAAGAAACGATTGAAAGTCTGCCAAAGCAGGTTAACCTCTATGGTAAGAGCCGGCCGTCTTTGTCAAGATGGGATGTCGGCCTCATTGCTGGTGGAAGAGCAGGTATGGACGTCCACGCTGATGACAATCCAAAAGCTTGGAATTGGACCTGCTCTGGTCTAGTCACCGTCCATATCCTGAACCACCTAGCCTTTGAAGATATCACATCAATCGCGTGTCCGTCCACGCCGATAGAGCTGTCCAGCTATTTTACCCACAAAATCCCTGTGTCCACCTTCCAGGAAGCTGGTGTGATCCATTCCATTGACAAGACGCGTGTTATCCAGGCTGGAATCGTTGTTCAGAGCGGGAGACAAGTGGCTTGCTTGCTCTGCGAGGAGAATCTTTGCGATACACTGTAGGTTGAGGCTTACACGGTGCTGAATCTTCCTTTTCAGGCTCAGAACTAATCTCGTGTAGGCTGCCGGTTTGCAATCACGCATTCTGTGGGCCATGCATTCTTAATCGCACGGGCGACGGAACCTTGGTGACCTGTCCAGCATGCCGGAAGGAGAATACATCAACTGTTCGCCTCTTCCCTCCAAATACAATACGCGCAACCATTCGAGAATCGACATCCTCAAGCTTGGGCACAGAAGTTCGGAACGCTTCAGAGTCTTCGAGAAACCGCTTAAGTACGAGAATACCACCAGCGACCATCGAGACTCCCCCTACACTTCCCAGCAAGCCAACAGTGGCATATGAAGATGCCATGAAATCCGCGCTTGCTCAAACATCGGTACTCACCGACGTATGTGGAAAAGGAGCTGAGAATCGCGTCTTCCACTTGCTGGAGCGAGGTGCAAAGGTCAACGAACCACCAGCTGAAGAAGGCGGACGAACTCCACTTCAAGCAGCCGCAGAGGGCGGTCATCTGAAAATTGTTGAGATACTGCTAGCGCACGGTGCCGATGTCAATGGAGCTGCCGCTCCCTTCAACGGCATGTCTGCACTAGCTGCCGCAGCGGATCGAGGCCATGTGGAAGTGGTAAAGATGCTTCTCGCCCGTGGTGCGCACGTAAATGCCGTACTTCCAGGCTGGAGAGACTACTCATCAGCGCTCCAATATGCGTGCAAAGCAGGCCACACTGAGATAATCCGTTCTCTTTTAGAGGCTGGGGCCGAACCCAACAACAACAAGTGGAAGAGTGCAAGTCCGCTGTGCCTAGCTGCAGAACATGGCTTCCTGGAAGCAGTCCAATTGTTGCTCGAATACGGAGCAGAGGTTGACAATGCAGCTTCTTTAGAGCTGGACCACGGTCGTCCACGGGGTACTACACCTCTTCACGAGGCTACCACAAAACAACACAAAGAAGTGGTGGACCTACTGCTAAGACATGGCGCAGATCCTGCCATTGTCGATGCAGGGCAATCCTCGCCCTTACACATCGCCGCCGCGTTCGCCGACCAGGCTATCTTCCATCTCCTCCTAGCAAGTCCGCGAATCCACAAATTTGTCGAGATGAGGGACAAGTACAAGGCCGCATTAATGCAAACGATATGCAAGGACGGATCGTTCGACAGGATCAAGTATTTTCTCGCCAGGGTGCCTGGCCCTCGCGACCACTTCCCTCTCAAATGCTGGGCAGTGTTTTTCTGCTGCGGACTTGGCTACACAAGAACTGTTGAAGGGTTGCTGGGTCTGAATCTGAGCCCCAACTTCAGTGTTTCCAATGATGCCACTCGCCTCGTTGGTTACCAAGCGGAGACGTCGCTTGAGCATGCCATCCTCAAGGGACATACGGAGGTGGTTGAACTACTGCTAAAGCGTGGTGCCATCGTATCTTCGTCCGGCGGGTTTAGACTCTCGAAGGAGAACCCAATCCTCACAGCAGCCTCTAAGGGCTTTCTCGACATTCTCAAACTTCTGCTGGCCAACGGAGTCTCCTTTGACCAGGCGCTACAGTCCGAGGCCATGCAGAAGGCTGCTAAGAACGGGCACACTGCTGTTGTCGAATTCATCATGAGCAGCCACCAGCACAGTGCGGACAAGTCGGAAGTGAACAAAAGTCTGCACAAGGCTCTGGCAGGGAGTGACGCCCCAACCTCCCGCTTGCTTTTGGTATCTGGCGCTGACGCGAATTGCGAACATGAGGGGAGGCGGCCTCTCCATCTGGCGTGTTTCTCGGCTGAGATTGTAGAGCTTCTGCTTGCGCACGGGGCCGACGTCGGCGCGGAAGACGAGAAGAAGAACCTCCCTTTGCACAAAGCGGCGTTTGCTCGCAACAAGGACGCCCCACGGATAGTGCAGCTGCTGCTTGAGGCTGGGTCTCCGATCGACCAGAAGAACGCGGCGCGCGACACGCCGCTGATGAATGCGTGCGCGGCCCGAAACGTCGAAGTGATCAAGGAGCTCGTTCTCGCCGGTGCGGACGCTCGCGCCACTGACGCCGAGGGCCGGACGCCACTGCATTTATGCTGTGCGCGAGACGGCGACCACAAGGCCGACCAGCACGAGGCTATTCGTATCCTTGCCAGCCTGCTCTGGGTCGACGTGGACGCCGAGGACGACAAGGGCCGCACCCCTCTCGACCTGGCGGCGCAGTCGTTCCGGAGCCCCGTGGTGCGCACGCTCCTCGACGTCGGGGCCGATCCGGAACTCGTCGACCTGGAGCGCCTGCGTCACGGCATCGTGGTGGCGCACGAGCCCCGCGCCACGATCTACGAGTGCGAGGCCGTGTGGCAGATCCGCAAGGCCCGCGGCCAGACCGAGTCGCTGTACGGAGACGAGCTGCCCGTCGGATTCAAGCGCGTCCGCAGGCTGGACAGCACAGACAAGGGCGGGTCGATGAAGCAGGTCAGCGAGGACGGCACCGTCGACAGTTTTGTCTTTGACATGGCCGTCTTGAATGCCATTTCCTCGTTTCGGGACTTGTGAGCTTTCACTCACTCACCCAATAGAGTCTGTAGAGCCTGTCACTCATCAAATATAGTATGTAGAGTATGTATATGCGTGTATATGTACAAGGTAGCTACCCACCTAGACACACCCAATGTACTTGTATCGGAGAAGTCACTGATTACTGATATCCTCTGCTATAAAGAACACATGTCCTACTCCTAACAATTACTCTCAAGTTAGCCAATGTGTACATGTGCATATACTATGCATATCTCTAACAAACGAAGGCAGTCGACCCCTACATCCAGAGGATAAACAAACAGTCATCTACCTCGCTCGCCCATCCTCACACCACCCCCATGCGCTGCCCGCACGATCTTATTCTGATTCAAATGCGGAAGAAATGCGTAAACTCCTTCGCCAGCATCGCCGTCTCCTCGTCCATGGGCTTCACCGGGTTCCCCTTGTTGTCCGTCCGGCAGGGGAAGGTCATGGCCATGGCGGCGCTCTCAAGGACCGACACGTAGATCCACACGTCCCGGGGAATCGGGCGGTCGAAGAGCAAGGCGGCCAGCTCGTCGCCGTGCGTGATGGTGTGGGGGCGGCCTGCTTTCAGGAACGTTGCGAGACGCGCCTTTTCCGCCGCGGAGAGGTCGGTGCGGATGCTGACTTTGAGGGTGGGGGTTGGGATGCGAGCTGGAGCTGGAGATGGCGCGCTGCTACTGCTGCTGCTGCCGCGTGGAGCCGTTGATGATGATGATGATGACAAGGGCTTGGATGGTCCTGGTCTCGAGGACGTCTTCTTAGGTTCTGCTGGTGACGACGGTGGTGGCACAAGGGGTCCCGACCGCTTGTACTCCTCGAGGGCCGATGCCAGAGTCTCCAGGCCGGCCACCGAAGTGGCTCGATGAACCAGATTCTCATCGGTAGAGTCGATCAGTTCGATAATGGTCTCCTCCATCAACCTGTCCACTATGCACCTCCGTATCATATCGCTATCGTCGCCGAGGACCATGATCCCCGTGTCGTCCCCAGTGTTGAGACCGTCCTTGGTCAGATCGTGTTTCTCGATGATGAATCTGGCCTCAGCTAGCCGGCGGAGGCGAATCCACTTGCGCGATGGCTGTTCGACAGGTCCGGTGGTTGTTGACGTGGGCGGTTGGTCTTGGGGACCTATTTTGATGGTTCTGTCGGTCATTTGTACACCTCGAGACTCTCTAGACTGCCCGTCTCTTTCGCCGAGTCTTGTTCGTAACTCAAATTGCCTCGGGGGCGGGGAATTGATAGTTGCGTGCGCTGTCGCTGTCGCTGTCGCCTTTCTCTCGTGAAAAGAGGTCTGTCCGACTCCCGGGGTCAGTGCCATGGTGGTAATGAGCTCATTGAGCAGGTTGGGGGGAAACCGTCGCACTCGTCGATCTAGAGGTTTGACGAGGTGGATCTTTAGTTCCTCGCCATCGACTTGGACAGTGACTGCGTCCACGAACCCTTGCAGCATTTCCCCGACTGAGTACTCAAACTGTCTTGTCCGTTGCTCGTTGGCGAAGATGGCGGGATGCATACTCACAAAATCCCAGACGGCCTTGGTCATGCTTTTCCAGGGGTTCTCTTGGACGAGGAACCCGTCCGACCGGAAGAGATCGAGGAACGTCTGTCGGAGATCTTGCAGAATCAACACGAGCGCGGTATCGAGCCACGCCACGAGTTGTTCTTGAAAGCCGAGCTCCTTCCAGAACGACCTGATCAACGTCGTGTCCGCCACCTCTCGATCTAGCCCCTTCTCTTTGGGGTTTGCCCCATGGAGCTCTAGGAGTTTGAGCACATCTCTCGCCTTTGGTCCGCGACCTTCCCGCGCGATGCCCGTCGGCGTTTTCCCCTCGAGGTTCACAAGGCCCAGCTTGACGCCGGCATCTAAGAGCGCCCTGACCATTTCCAAGTTTTCGCATTGGACAGCAAGGTGCAATGCCGTGTTCAGGTGCACATCTTGGAGGTCGAGCAACCGGTGATCGCGGACCTGCTCGAGAAAGAACGCAACCAGCCTCCTGGCTGCAAGGGGTTGTCGAACCATACGCTTGTCCTGGGCGAGGAGATGAAAGATGGACTGGCGAAGGCGCTGGTTGGCGATCAATTTGGCGCCTTCGTTGTCCGTCTGCTGCTCGAGAAGCCACTGAAAGCGTTCTAGCGGGATACTATACCCTTGTTCGGCTAGCTGGCCTAGCAAGGTGAGCCCATCACGCACTTCATCCAGTCGAGCACCGTGCTTCAAGAGTTCCGAGGCGATGTCGAGGTTCCCTGCCTTGAGGGCCAGAAACAGCGGCGTGTGCCACTCCCAGTCAGGCTGGTTGACGGAGAGTCCTCGGCGAATGAATTCCCTTACGAAGAATACATGGCATCCTGTCTCAGCGCAGAAGTGAAGGTAGTTGGACTTGTGTTGCACCATATCTGCAAGGATTTTGCTCCCTGCGACTTGTAGGTTTGCGGGCAAGAGCGGCGTCTCGACCATGGCGCCATGCTTGAGGAGTTCCATAAAGATATGCTGCTGTCCCAGCTCCAACGCCACATGCAGGGCTGTGGTGCCACCAAATTGGAGTTCATTCTTTTCCATGTGCTCCGTCGCGCCGTTTTCAAGCAGCACTTTGGTCATCTGGTAGTTGCCAGTGCTAATGGTATTCTTGATGAAATTGTCTTCGCCGCCGTACCCGTACAGACTCTCACCAAAACTGAGTAGTAAGACCAATGTCTCTTTTGCATTGTCCAGCCAGTGATCCCCGTGGATCTGGAACAGAGCCAAGGGCGTAGCACCATTGATGGCAAAGTTGAACAACCGCAAGTTCGGGCCATGGTCTTGGTTTGGTTTGTACGGCTTCATCCGTGAATGTAGAAGCTGCATGATGGCGGTCAAATGGAGTTTTGTCGCCAGGCCCAATGCAGTGGCCCCGTCACGGTTCCGCAAATGCGGATCGGCTCCTAGATCCAGCAGTGCGCGCACTGCGTGGATGTTTCGCTTTCCGATAGCTCGATGCAGTGGTGTGCCCGAGGTCATGGCAAGATCCGTGTTGAAGCCCTCAGCTACAATGGCTGCCCCAACAGCCAGGGCTGACAATTGGCTCTTTTCCGAAAACAACACCTTCGCAGCCGGCAGGATCTGGTCATCGTCAAATGAGCTCAGCCAGTGCATCGGAGTTTCCTCGTCCTCATTGCCAATGGTGGGATCTGCGCCGTTTTTGATGAGCTCTTGGACCGCCTCAAACGAACCACTGATGCAGGCCAATAGGAGAGGTGTGCAGCGCTCGGGGCACATCTGACTGTTGACATCCTCACCACGTTCTATCAACTTCCGGATCGCCTGTGGAAGACCCTTTGCACTTGCAACGTGTAATGCAGAAATTCTCCGACCGATTCTGGGCCCCGCCACGACCCATTCATCCAACTCGTCGAGCCTTAGGTGAATTCCGAACATGAGCTGCTCCTTGGACTCGGGGGATGCCATCATCCGGCCGTTGGCTTTTGAAGAGTGGAGATCTGCACTAGTCCAAAGGGACAGAGCCTGTATGCCACCCAGGCGTGAGGATCTCACTGTGCGCAATGCTGCCTCATAGTCGTCTGGGTTGTGGTCTCTCAATACCAGAAGCGCCGACAACGAACCGAGACAAGCGGCCGAGAAGGCCCATTTCAAGGCCCTCGCAGGAGGCTTGCCTGATTTGATGGTGAGTTCGGTAGGAAAGTCGCCAATATCAATCGGTGATTCGAAGACGCCGTGGTATGGCTCGAGCTGGGCAACTATAGCCTGGGCGTGCGTCAAACCTCTCCTCGCCGCCCGAACCATATGGTTATAGGCAAGGCCCAAGTTGTTGGTGCAAATGTGGTATTCTGCCACTGTCATGGAGGCAATGTTAGTCGGGCAAAACATGGCATCGTCCTCAACGAGGGGAGATGAGAGTTTTCCAAGGCCATCAAGATCGCGGAGAAACTGTTGTCTGAGGCGAGGATGGTACATCTGAAGCTGATAGAGAGCAATCTAGGTTTTCTTGTCAGTACGGCTCAGGCTAACATCAGAGAGGATTACTAACCGGCTGATAGAGCCTTACCCTATTCAGAGGCATTTTGCGGCGGAGGCCTGTGTAGAGACCACTGATATATATAGTGAGCTGCTTGATCCAAAAGTCCAACAGGGAGAAATACCTTTGTCCATGTGTCCAAGGCAGAAGGGCCTTTGTCAAGTCCCTGTTTCGTGGTTCAGCGGTAAGACTATTATTGAACGCATTTTCCAGATCGCTAGAACCCTGTGGCTGGACCCTTCGGGCGAAGGACACTGCCACTGGGAGAACGAGATTTTGTTCCTTCCACGCCTGGACGTGACCATCTGTTCGTGCTTTTGAGGTTTGGGAACGGGCTTCAAATTGATCTTGGGAAGCAACAAAAGGGTTCTGACCGTCGAGGAATACTCGCCAAACAAGAAGACCCCAAGAGTAGATATCGGCTTTGAATGCATCTTGCCATGAGACGGTCTTGCCAACTTCGGGCGCAGTCCATGGACGAGTACCGCTGGAGACTTGGGCGGTCGTCCTCTCTGCTCCCATGCGTATCTTCTTGTCGGTGCTGCCCGGAAAGTCCACGTCGAGTATGGCGAAACCAAAATCGCTAATCTTCGCGATGTACTTCTTCTTTGGGTCTGGAAAGACTAAGACGTTTTCTGACTTGATGTCGCCGTGTACAATATTAGAATCATGTACCGCCAGAAGCCCGGAGGCTACGTCTTGGGAGAGTGTTTCCTTCTGCCGGTAAGGAAGAGGGCCATGACTTTCTTGAAATTCAGCGAGATTGCCTATTGCAGTGTATTCTAGAATCAGATAAGGCCAGAGGCGATAATCATCGACGGAAGGAGAGATCTCCCAGCCCAGTCCTAGAAGATCCACCACGTTGGGATGATGGCGGACAGGTGGATGTGTCAGACAAAGCAGGTCAGTGACGACACATCGAAAGCTTTCGCGGGTTTGAAATCCTGAGGGACGAATACGTTTGAGTGCGACTGGTGCTGGGTCAAGGCTCTGTGCTTTGGCGTCTCCAAGGACTGCTTTGTGGACAATGAAGGATGCCCCGTAACCAAGGTCAGACTGGATCTTGGGAAACTGGCCAGGGTCCAGATGGTGATATTCTGTTCTGGCAGGGTCCCCCATCGAAAATCTGGAAGTCACAAGGAAAGGAAGCGACACTGCATCGGCTGTCTGGACGTCCGGAGACCTGGATGCTTCATCTCGAACAGTATTGACGGTGACAAGTGGGACGTTGGAGCCACTGACTTGCAGAAGCTCTGACCGATGGGGAGCAAGAGACGAGGTGCTTGTCAGCGAAGCCATGTCCAATTATAGACAGCTGGAAGCTAGAGCTCCGCATTCACTCGGTAATGCTACGCCTTATGCGTGGACATATATGGAGAGAAAGCAGGAGAGCCGATTGTCTCCAGCTTGCGCCTTGAAGAGAATAGAGCAACCACTTTCATCAGGAAGAGCCCGGCTGTCACTTACTTGGTCAGGGAGTCTTCAACGTGAGGCTGAAGTCTAGAGCAGTACCTTGTACTGCGAAAGCCCCTTTGCCATGCATAAGGAGATGATAGTTTGTTCAGCCACATCACGCCCTTGGTCTGTACTTGTGCAGTAGCCACGTGCACCAAGCAAAGGCTTCTGTCGACTAAGGAATATACGAGTCCTTGGTCAAGGCTGGTCTCTGGCGGGGGACTTACCGGCCAATCAGTCAAGGTTGGACGACAGTCTCTTTGCCCTCCTGTAAGTAAAGCAATCCAAATTGAGCAGGACTTGGCCAGACAGACAAGTTGATTCGGACAGCGATAACGAATCCCGTGCAATACCAAGAACCCGCCAATCCAAGCCAGGATGATAGCGTGACTTCATCTTGCTCAGCCGCAGAAAAAGGGGGCGAACGTACTTAATCGATGATAATACTCGGTACTTCTCGTATTCCACTGACTAGTTCGACGACCAATCTGCCGCCAAGTCTTAGGGAAAGAGGCTCAGGGTTCCTGCCTGATCCGGCAAAAGGGTGATGCCGCCCTTGCATCTCCCCCGGCCCTGTGCGGGATTGACCCGCATCCGCGAGAGCCAAAATTCACAACCGTCAATCCTGATCCTCGAAGACGCCATAGTTTTGTGACTCATATTCATCTACGCGCATTTCATGGCAAAGTGAGAATTAGCCCCCCCGGAGATGAGTGTAGATACACGATGTAGAGACGTGCAAGCTTCCCGCGATACACATACGCGTCGACCAAACACACCCCAAGAAATCATCGAGAAATAGAAAGAGATGCATGTGGCCGACATGGACGCCAAAAGCCAACTGCTTCAGGCTTTGGATGCCGACAAAGAGGCTCACATTCGCATGTTGCAAGAATTCGTGCGGGCTCCGTCACCGAACCCGCCGGGCTCGACCGCGGCAGCTGCTGCAGTGCTCACTTCGTATCTCGAGTCTCAAGGGATTCCTTATCAGACCCTGACTCCGCAGCCCGATTGTCCTAATATCGTGAGCGACTTCCAGGGTGGCCGAGGAGAAGGCCCGCGAGTCGTTCTCAACGGCCACATCGACGTATTTCCCGTGGGCGACGACACCCGTGCATGGTCCAGAGACCCCTGGTCTGGTGACATTGAAGACGGCAAAATCTACGGCCGGGGTGTCGTCGACATGAAGTCAGGTACGGCATCACTGCTGCTTGCGTATGCCAGCCTTTATCAGCGGCGCGAAACGCTGCGCGGCAGCGTCGCCTTCTGCGCGGTGTCCGACGAGGAAACTGGGGGGAAATGGGGCACCAGATGGCTGCTCGAGCAGGATCGCCCACGCTGGGGAGGTGATTTGATGCTGAGTGCCGAGCCTTCTGGCCGTAGCATCCGTTTTGCTGAAAAAGGGACGTTGCGCCTGACGTGCACCGTCGAGACCAAGGGTGCTCATGGCGCCTTTACCAACATCAGCAAGGGTGCTGCCCGCACTTCAGCCTACTTCATCAAAGACGTAGTCGAGGACGTCGAGAGCATGTCAGTCGACATGCCCAGGGAGGTATTGGAGCAGCTGGAGAAGCAAGAGGTCCAAATGGTCGCCAACGAGATAATGGGAGCCGGCACACACACCATCCTCGGCCGTCCGACCGTCAACATCGGAACAATCAAAGGTGGGCTCAAGGTCAACATGATCCCGGATATGTGTGTTTCCGAGTTCGACATCCGACTGCCTGCCGGTCTCACACGGGAGACGGTGCTCGAGCGCATGAGGAGCATCATTTCCAAGTACAAGGAAGCCAAGATTGACCTGTCGGTCCACGAGGCTCACAGCAACCCTTCCAGCTTTTCGCCACTAGATCACCCCATGGTCGACCTCCTTGCGAGGAACGCCCAGCTCGTAAGCCCGGAATCTGAACGGCCTCCTCTACCCATTCCATCGATAGGAGCCACCGACTGCAAGCACTATCGCTACCGAGGAATTCCGGCCTACGTCTATGGGTGCAGCCCTAAAACTAGTACGTCTGCACCCGATCCTCTTTGATGCTCAAATCTCATCACCCCCTACTCCTGTCATGTTACAGTTCTGATTCTGACGCGGAGCATTTACAGTGGCCCAGACGAACGAATTCACGACAATTGACGACTTTCTCCACGTAACAAAGGTTCATGCGGCGGCCACCTGGGACTTTCTGCAGTCAGTCCTGACCCAGCGGTCTAGGGGACCCTAACTTCTAGGACCATTTCCCCCCTTTGGAAATTGCACGGAAGGTAGGGATGTAGAGTCTACCCAGCAACTCCATCACCTCAAACCTGTCTTTCACCACTGGAAGCAAATTAGGGAATTAGACGAACATCTCGCATGAATTTGGGCAACAGCCAAGTCAGATAGATACGTCTCACAGAAACGACTGTTGGCTGTATGAAGCTTCTATAGAATCTTATCTATACCTAGCATCTAGACATTTTTGCCCTCCGCCCCGGAACCTCCCGTTCTACCAAGTCCTACCAAGTTGATATGGACAGCCAACGCTAGTCCGTGTTATTTTACATTAGCTGCAACTTCTCGTCGGAACCTACAGCTCTAATCAGACACATTAGGTCTTGGACGTCGACTTGAACGACCTGAATATTCTGAGGTGAGAAGAGGCTGAGTGACGAGGCTGAATGACGAGGTGGGAGGGTATAAAAGCGGCGGGGGTTCTGGGGTGATGGGTGGGTGAGTCCCATATCACGCCAAGGGCCTGGACTGTTCACAATCGACGCCCTGCGAGGCGTTTCCTGTCATCCTCGACGCTAGTAAAAGCCACGGGGTGTTCTAGGCTGACAGATAGGGAACTAATAGATTATTCGTGCAGGGACATACGTACCGAGACGAGGCGTTGATCAGAAGTAGACGGAGGCAGTCTGATTCATCCTACTCACAGCCACCGGCACCCAACTGGGAACATATGAGGCAACTCGCTTCACTCTACGTTCCCGATAGACTTTGTAGAGTATTTTGCTATTACATCGAACCGTGCAAGAGCTCTCCCGCAAGCAGCAGGAAAACAAACATTGAATCTGGACACTAATTGAAGGCGCATCGCGGCACGCCTGCTAGCATGGACCCTGCTAGCCTAGCCCTCAGCATTTTAACGTCGTATCGCCTGTGCACCGAAGGTTATAAAGTCATTACCTCCATGAGGCATGCGTCGACCACTGCCCTTCGCATCCAATGCAAGTGCGAGATCGAAGAGGCGCGATTTCTGCTCTGGGGAAAGAGTTGGGGACTGGTCGACGACTTGAGCGTCTTCCGATCAACCCCCAACGTCCACCTGAAGCTAGTCAAGGAGCCGGTTGCCATTTCGCAGTTAGTGGCCAAGATCCTCTCCGAAATTGAAAACATTCTCGGTAACGCTACCGGCCTGAAGAAGAAGTATGGCTTGTCCGACCTTCTTCGGACGGAATCGGCCAACGAAGAGGATGCCAGTGAGGAACCAGCGCCGGAGCCAAATTATACTGGTAGCATGAGCCTGAAGAAGAGGATCAGCTGGTCCACACGCGACAAGTCCTCATTTGAAGAGCTGGTAGCCGACCTGCGGGAGCTCAACAATGGCCTGTACTCACTGGTCCCCATAAAGTCTCAGTCGCTTCTGACCGAGGCCTTGAATGCAGAGATCCTACCAGCAAAAGATCGGCCTCGTGATCTGGAGATACTGAAGGAAGTCTCAGAGCAGGCAGATCCTCAACTGAGTGACGCCGTGGAATTGAAACTCCTGGGACTCAAGGCAAACTCTTGCGAGACGACCTGGAACGCTAATCCATCTGTGAAATTACCCAAGGCCGGGTTCAGGTTCCAAACTCCAGATGGATTATCAGAGCATAGCGACAACCTCGCCAGCAGCTCCATGTCGTACGCATCCTTCACACCCAAAGGAACTGACACAGGAGTTCCAGTGCTGATAGAGTGGAAACCTTATGACCCCCGCGCAACCGGATCTCGTGCGTTTGTCATTGCGCTGCGTGCAGAAGGACTCTGTCGGCTGCTTGAAAAGTTCTCTGCCACATCTCTAAGCGTCCCCTCGTGTCTGGGATTCTTCGACGATGTCGACGGTGGCAGATTCGGGTTCGCGTTCCCGCTTCCTCAAACCCCTCTTTACGGAGGTCTCCTGCAACCTGCCAATTTGAATGACTTGATTTCCGGTCAGCCGGCCTTACCTCCGCTTGAGGACCGCTTCAAGCTGGCGTCTACTCTAGCCCGCACTCTGTTCGCCTTCCACTGTTCGGAATGGTTGCACAAGGATTTCTCATCGCACAACATCTTACTGGGCACGTTACCTGGAAATAACTCAAGCGCAGATCTCACACAGCCCTTTATTGTCGGATTCACATACTCCAGGCCGGAAGACCACGAAGGCATGTCTTCAGAGATCCGCCAGACACAATCCCTTAAGCATCTGTTGTACCAGCATCCATCTCTTCTGCACCACTCCACACCAGTTGCACCAAGATACTGTAAAGCATTCGACTTGTGGAGCCTTGGGTGCGTGCTCCTGGAAATTGGGCTCTGGAGACGCTTGAAAGACCTGTGGAAGCCAAAATATGCAGAGAACCCGACTATATGGACTGACAGACTGAGGAACGTTTGGGTGGGTGAACTTCGAGGTCGATGCGGTGGGCAGTACGAGCATGTAGTTACGCGTTGTTTGTCCGCAAGCGAGCAAGACTTTGAGTCCTCTGGGCTCTTTTGGGAAATCATTGGAAAGCTGGAGGAACTGCGAGTATAGGGTCGATTTGGAGTTGGGTTCCCCTCGTATAAGACACTAGATTAGCAGAGGCAGATTGCATATACTCACATTCGGGATCTGGCGGCAAGAGAAGCTGCGTGCTTGAGCAGGCATCTTTGAATGACAGGTCTCGATTCATGAAGATACATATGTGTAGGAAAGGCAGGGTAGTACCTCGTAGAATAGTTTGTTCTGTAGGCAAGCGCAGTGTTCAATCACGTGGCCGCGTTCCTGTTCCCGATGGCTCCCAGTGGATTCAAAGCCCGCCAAGTGACCTCATCAACAACACGCCCACCACTGCCGCAAAACCACCGCGTCGCACGAACATATCCACCACCCACCTTGTTGTGCGATGCGCCCTACTCTCCGACGCTCTATATTAATGTTGTCGGCTGAGGCCTGTGTTTGACAACCCTGCGCAACAACAATATACCGCTGCCTCTGCAGCTCACCCTTACGGCGCCGTCAAGCCATGCCTCGCGCTCCTCTCCGCCGCCGTCAGCTTTACCGGAACGGCCCAAACCTACGCGGCGCAAAACAGATCAACAACAGCACCGCTAAACTGGAACTAGAGAAGAAGTTGGCGCACAAACCAATCGGCCCTCGACCGACCGACAGCGATGATAGCGATAGGCTCGTTGTCAAAGGCAATGGGAGGAGAGGGAGGAATGTCCCAAGGCAGGAGATTTACGCTTCTGGCGCAGTGGCTGCTGGTGACAAGCCGGGAAACTATCCTACCCGAGCGCAAAGGAGGAAGAATATGACCAAGACGACAAAAGAGATCATAGGGACCGATCAACGGGACACGCGAAAAAGGGCAGGATCCGTCCCAGTCAGCAAAGAGCTACATCAGCCCGTATCTGGACCTCCCACCATGAATGGCATCTCCCAAAATACAACAGCTACAAATCAGGTACCTCCCACGGCTATATCGCCAGCTACGAAACCCCCTGGCTCTGTTTTGCGGGCCACACTGCCGACTTCGAACAGAGAAGATTCCATTCTCGGGACGTTGAAACCCAGGCGAAGGCAGCCTAGCATTCTGCAAGACTTGGACCAGGATTCGTCGAGTTTTGACCTTGGAGACGGAGATGACTTTCTCCCCGATGACGAGTCTACACCGTTTGGTGCTTCAAAACTATCGACCAAACCTACAACACCCGCTTCAGCGTCACCCGTACTGCTGTCTTCATCACGGAAACGAAAATTTGGCCATCCCGATCCTCTTGAGCCCGCTGTGATCGAGTCGGCGCAAAGGCCAGCCACATCACCCTTAGGAGTTATGCATACATTGGAAGCTACCCCCGAGCCCTCTCTTCCAGCAGTGCCGCTATCCGTGCTGCGTGAATCAGGACGAAAGCAGCGCGAAAATGTTCGCGACGAAGACGACATCATGGCGCTCCCCCAGAGCAGTTCCTCGCCAGCGCCGTCTCCTGCACGCAAAGTACCTTCGGCATCTAGAAAACGAACAAAGAATCCTGCGACCCTCGCACCGGTCATGACCACAGCGGAGCTCCAGGCTCACATGATGCCCACCAAGAAACGAAGGACGCAGCGGGAGCGGAAACAGCGCCGCGAACAGTTTGATATTCCGGCGGACATTGAACCTTCAGATTCCGACGCTTCCGAGGAGGACGTGTCGAATTTCCTCCCCTCAAAGACGAGTTATAAAGCACGACGGAAAGGACCTTCGACCAGGGTAGGCCTAACGCAGACCAAAGCGAAATCTGGGAAAGCTAGAAAGCAGGACAACACTGCTATGTCGTCAAAATCAAGGTCAAAATCAAGTACGAACCTTTTCATCACTACCACTTCACCTATATTGAGGCCATCTACTTCGAATCGCGAAACTAAGTCTCCATCACAGCATTCTACAAACAAATCATCGAGTATCAACGCGGAATCTCAGGTAGGACATTCAAAGCAGTATGGTGGCTCCCTCCGCAAAGGTCGAGGAACGACCCACACGCAAGACAAGGAAAACCATTATTCTCATTCAGATAATGAACCTAGTCATGTTCGAGGCGACGACACGAATACCCTGGGCGAAATGGAAGAGGTACCCATAGATGCAGGTGGGGAGGGTCAGAGCAATCCAAGACCGGTTGGAAAAAGCAAGTGGGCAGAGATAGACGCTTGGGATATGGATTTTGAGGACGTTGAAGTTACGACTGGATCGGGAAGTAGCTCGCCGACACGGTGGTGACAAGCAGGGCTACTTGAACGCGACTGCAGACGTGGCTTCAGGATAGCAGTGCCCAACAGCATGGTACGATGAATGAACTAATGAACGGGGTCATCTGCGTGAGTCTTTCACAATTCTATGAACACATTTCCCACGAGCTCTCAGTCTAATGCCAATGAAACTGGTTCTTGCATGAAGCATATTGAAAAGTTCCAGTGTTTTCGTTTCCACAGTCTTTTGGTTTGTCAAGAACATGGTTGATTTATCGCATCAACAGTCCTCCTTAGTCAATGCATGCATAGCTCTGTATTTGTAGTCATGATATCATACACTGGCGAAGGCTTCAGTTGGAAAGGTATCGACGAGGCTGTAATGCCAAGACTAGACGAGGCTGATGGAGAGTCACTACGTCCCGCACTTAATATGGGGAAGTCAACCCACCAAGGCAAGCCATGCTTCAGCCTGCACCCCATTTACTGTCTCGTTCATTCCGCGCTGTACTTGGTACAGTCTACTCGGGTTTCAGTCTACGTTATTTCTCAGCCTGAAACACGGGAGAGTTACTGTAACTCTATCTTCCACAACCAAGTCACAATCGGCCGCGTTGACACCGCTCTGCACCCTCGCACATGGCAGGTCCGTGAACGAACTTGCGCAGCCAGATTCCGGCATCGATCGCTGGCTATGGACAAACTCCTGGCGGAGAGCAGTGCTCTCGTCTCAATCTCTCTGCCGCAAGAAGAAGATCGCTTTGACAAAGCTGCAAAGGCGCTGGTGAACAAATTGAGCAAGCTTTCTGCGCAGGATATCGCACCCGCGAAAGATGATCTTGATGTATGTCCATTGCAAGCAAGCCAGACATGAAGTTTGACCAGATAACAGGCACTCTCACCCTTTGCACACACCATCCTGTACACCTATGTCCTTGTCGCAGGCATCGAAACATCTGTAGCCAGTGGAAAAGCGGCGCCAAAACAACTGCCATCCACCGCCCTACCTGAAGGTGCCTTCTGGCCTTACATCACTCAGCTTCTCCTCGAATTCGACCCGATCCAAGCACGATATTGCGGTGCCCAAATACTGCGGCTTGTCGATTGTGTCGCGGTAGGTGCAGAGCAGACCGCTAATTACGTCCCTGCTATCCAACTGCTGCACCATGTCATTCTCCGACTCGACAGCACCTCATCTACCCTGACATCCACACACCGCACCTTTCTCCGCCTCTGTCTGCTGTCGCAAGCATATGCCGAAGCCGTTCGTATCCTCGACCTTCCAATCTATCACATTCCTCCCTCCAAGCACGATTTCCGCATACATAGATGTCTCTGCTCGAATTCGGATCAGCCATGGACCTTTTTGAGTCCGGTGACAGGTCTGAGTCAACCAATCACAAGTCGGACATATCTCGAATACTATCTGATGGGTGGCATGTGTTACATGGCGTTGAGGAGATACAAGGAGGCTATGTTTTTTCTCGAAGTTGTCCTCACAGCACCTGCAACTCAGAACGTTGCCAGCGCTATCATGGTGGAGGCCTATAAGAAATGGCTGTTCGTCGGTCTCTTGCGGACCGGCAGCACTCCCCCAGTACCAAAATCTGTTGGTCAGAATGCAATCCGGCATATTCGGGCGCTTGCCAGACCGTACGAAGCTGTCGCCGACGTTTTCAAGGGATCCAACGTCGAATTGTTGCGTGCAGAAATCGAGGCGGGCAATCATATTTGGCAAGATGACGGAAACTATGGCCTCGCGGTCGAGGTCTTTGAGGCATTCCGAAAGTTTGCAGTCCAGAGACTCAGCAAAACGTTTGCGGCGCTCTCCATAGCGGAAGTCGCCAAACGGACGTCGCCAGATCCGTCGAATCTCGCCGAGACGAAAGCATATATTGACACATTGATCGTGACTGGCGAACTCAGTGCGGTGGTCACCAGGAGTGAAAGCGGCACCGAGATTCTACGGTTCCTACCGACGTCAGCATCCGTACGACCCGAAGCACAAGTTGAGTCGGCACTTGTCGCCCAGACGCGAGAGCTACAAGTCCTCCTCAAACACGTTCAAGATACGGAACATCGACTGGAAATCTCCAAAGAATACATTGACTTCCTGAAGAAGCTCAAGAAGATGAGGGATGACAAGGGAGGCAAGGGGAGTGGGAGGAGAGCAGCGGATGACGACGTTGATGAGGACGTGATGGAGGAAATCTAGCATTGCATCTGGGATCCAGGACTCCCATATCATTGATTGGGCTGTGTCCTGACGCTCGCCATGACTCGACGTCAGTAGACTGTAGACGGCCACGAGGGCCCGAGCGAGTTGAAATCTTCGGCAACTTTGAGACAGAGACTGGGTTTGCAAGCGATCGTCGCATGTCCTGGAAGATGGATCTCATGCGCAAGCACTTCTGAGCGACAGTTTGTGTCTCGTGAAAGTAGTTCATCAGGTAACACATAATATATCCCTCTATGATTGTCTGAGCGATTTCAGATTGCGGAGCCAAGTGCCTGAGGACTGAGCGAGGCTGCACCACCCTTTTTCCTCGCCGCCTAGAATGGCCGTCTCCATCACATCAAACAGCGTCTTCCTCCTCCTAAATGGTGTCGCACTCTATGTATGTGGAGTTCTGTATAAGGTCAGTGCTTCCATCAAGAGACTACATATCCGAACCCGCTCAAGTCTTTATCAATCCGAGGTTAGCATTGTAATATGTATCAGCAATCCGCAACCTCGGCGAATATTGTTTGTACATGCCTGTTCTTTTTTGTCCCCGACCAGGCAGACACCCGTGGATGCCAGGGTAAATGGGGCGGATGAATTGAAGACAGTAGGTGGGAACATGTACCGGTATGTCATAGTAATAATTGATATGTACCCAGTACCTTATGTAGTAATAGGCTAATTAGTGCATGAGGTGTTTTTTTGTCCCGGTCCCTTGTTCCATTCCTGTATCTCCGCGCTGGCTGGCTGGGCTGGCTGGGGAGATTGGGCGGTACATACATATTAGGATACCAATATTATTGATTTCATTTCTCTTCTCGGTATTGTGGGCCATTTAGATTCGTCTTTTGTGGTGGGAGGACTGTATTTTACCCGTACCTCACGTCGTATAATAGATAGACGGTGTTGTTGATATACCCTACCTCTATACCTAGTATCCAAGAAACGAGGAAAACGACAACACCCCTGCGAGTCCCTGCAACGATGCCAACGTACATCATCACGGGGGCGAACAGAGGCCTGGGTCTCGAGTTCGTGCGCCAACTGTCCGCGGACAACGACAACAACACCATCATCGCCGCCGTCCGGAGCTTACAAGGCGAGCTGGACGACCTCAAACAACTCGCCTCTCGACCTGGCGCAGCACAGAGCAAAGTCCACATCCTCGAATGCGACACGGGCGACCTCGCATCGATCCAGGCCTTTGGCGACGCCGTCAGGGACACCCTCGCCGGAAATCCCGTCGACTACCTCGTCAACAACGCCGGCATCAACGCCACCCCCGAGGAGACCAGTCTGGACATGACGGCCGAGAGTCTGCGGAGGCACATCGACATCAATGTCGTGGGGCCGGCGGAGACGGTGAAGGTACTGTTGCCGTGTCTGCGCGAGGGCAGCGCGGTGATGAACTTGAGTAGTGGGTTGGGGAGTTGTGGGAAGAAACTGTAAGGGGATTCATTTCTTTATCCTCTGCCCTGCTGTTCTGTTCTGTGCTGTGTTGGGGTTACTTGTGCCGTGTGGGTGTATTTGTCTCCCATCTATCCCGTCTCCCTTCGCTTCCCTTACCTCCCCTCCTCCTCTCCCCTTCCAGCTCCTTTCAGAGGCCCCTGTTTTCGTCCGAAAAAGCAAGATCTGGAGAGAGAGAGAGAGAGAGAGAAAAACCAAATACTCAAACGATATCCACACGTGCGTGTGGTGTGTTATCTACAGACCGAAATGCACTACGTACTCCATCTCGAAGGCCGCCCTGAACATGTTGACGGTGCACCAGAGCGAGCAGTTGAAGTACCGCGGCATCAAAGTCATTTGCATGGATCCCGGTACGTTCCCTCCCTTATTCCCCTTCATTCCCTATCCTCTCCTAAAAAAAATCGACACCCTTGATAAAGAGGGATGTATGTGCTTGGCCTTTCGAGGGATATATCCATACACACAAGTACCATGTCCATACTACACATCGACTGGGGAGACTCTACACAAACCTACAAACAACGCTAACCAATTTGGGGATATTCTGTACAGGCTGGGTCAAGACACGAATGGGTGGCGAAGGCGCAATTCTCGAACCCGACGTCAGCATTTCAGTGAGTTTGTACATATCTCGTACCCGGTACTCCTTTTTTCTCACTCCCGGTCGACACTAACGGCGGTTGGTAAAACCAGGGAATGCTCAAGACCCTGCACACCCTAAAAGACTCGGACTCGGGAAAGTTCTACACGTACACGGGGGATTTGGTGCCGTGGTAGTGGTAGTATAGAGCCCTGCTGGGGGGGGGGGGGGGGGGGCGAGAGGAGTGTTGAGGTACGAAAGACATGGTGGATAGAACAGTATTTTCGGGGTGCGGAGAACGGTAGATCCATAAGAGACATACACATATATAGATGTAGAGAGACAATTCGACACGAAGCCCTGTACCTGACAAGATAACATAGTAGGTTTCAGGCAGTTCACCCAACTGGGCTGGGATACTTCATATCAAGCATCAAGGACGAAAAGAACGTCAGTATGGCAATATACGAAATATTTTTGTCCGTAAGTACATATTCGTATAAACCTGGGATGATAGCGACAGACAATAAACTTGCTGCTTATCTCGCCTACCCTTCCCTTGATATTCTGTGCGCAGAGCGTCGCTTATCGCTTCGCGGCTCATGGCTGGCATCACTCCAAAGCCCAGCCAGACCATCCGAACTGGAACCACTCTGCGCTTCATCTCCAACTGAGGCCTGCAAAGGCCCAAATCCAACCGCTGAGAGGAGTGAGGCAGTACACACCAAACGGCAAACCTGGAACTAATCTAATAGATGGATTGAATCAGCCTTTCAATTTGCAAACCGACCTATACTCCTGCCGTTTGTTTGCGAAGAACGAAGGGTATCCGCCTATTGACACAGTTTGATCCTGCCCTCGTCTGCTTCTCCTGCAGGAATTTTCCACTATTCACCTAGTCTCCTCAAGCCGTCGCACTCGCACCGGTATCGGTCGTCGCAGTGACTCGCTCAATTTCAATCTTGGGCATGCCCGCCGAGGCGGAACCCAAGTCTGTCACCTTGGCCTTGGGGTCTAGGAAAAGACACAGTTAATCACATTACTCAAACATCTTTGGAAGATGGACCTACTTTTCTTGTAATAGTCGCCAATGGCACTCTTGATAGCATCCTCCGCGAGCATCGAACAATGTAGTTTGACGGGCGGCAGACACAGTTCCTTTGCAATCTCTGTGTTGCGGATCTTTCCTGCCTGTTCTAGTGTCATGCCGCGTACCAGCTCGGTGAGGTACGATGAGGAGGCGATCGCCGAACCGCATCCGAAGGTCTTGAACTTGACGTCGCTGATCGTTTGGGTGTTGGGATCGACCTTGATCTGCAGTTTCATCACATCGCCGCAAGCGGGCGCTCCGACGAGGCCTGTGTGTGACGAATCTGTCAGCCTGTGTTGTGGAAGAAATGGGTTTTCGACCGAAGCTCGCTCTTTTCCACACAATGGCCGAGCTCCGGAACGTGCACAAATCTTGTTCGAATCGACCTACCTGTTCCAACATCCACCGCAGATTTATCCATCGAGCCAACATTTCTTGGATTCGAATAATGATCAAGGACCTTCTCGTGATAGCTTCGTCGCTGCTGCGAGACGGCGGCGGATCTGAGTGGTGATGAGGAGGCGATACTCGGTCGGACAGCGGAGGTTTGGACCGAGGTGCGCATTGCGCGCGGAATGGCAAGGAGAGCTCTTCGTGACATGGCGGCTGCGTATAATTGGTATGTGTGGTTCTGTGCGGTCGTGGGATGCTGTAGATTGTAGGATCAGACGTTGAAGAAAAGAGTGTGTAGGTTGTTGAGTGAGTCTGAAGTAATATCGAGAGGTGCTGCGTCAAAAAGTAATTGACGAAAGTTGTCGAACCCTTCGATGGCAAAGGAGGGGGTATCAATCAGTTCTCATTGGCTGCCTTTCACGTGATCTTTGCGCTAATCCTGTTTAAGGGATGACGTCGCTCCATCTCGGTCGACTTTTCCGTGTTACGACTGGCGTGGAGGGACATCGAATCAAGTAATTGCGAGCGACAACCACGACGCGCCTAAAACGAGATCCGCGTTAACCTTGAACAAGATGGAGACAACTCGGAAGGACAGACCATCATCGTCCAAGACGCCCAAGAAGGACCACCTCAAGAATCCCTCTCATCCGTACACCTTTGAACACCTTCACAACGCGTACATCACCTCTCTGTCACACGGCAGCAATATGCCCCTCCCGTCCAAGAAGAGAAAGTCCGCAATCAACGACGACAGTGACGTGGATGTATCCACCACCAAACGTGGGAAAGGTGCATCGGGAAGTGCTTTCGTACCGTCCTCAAAACCGCAGGTGGACTCGGATGGGAATTCATACTGGGAAATCTCAAAGGCGAGGCGCGTGACCCTGTCCGAGTTCAAGGGCAAGAAATTGGTCAACATCAGAGAGTATTATGAGAAGGACAAGGAATGGCTGCCAGGAAAGAAGGTATACATGCCGTGCATATATGGGACATGTGAGAGTACTGACCCGTGGTTCCAGGGCATCTCAATGAGCATTGAGCAATATTCAGCCTTCGTCCAGATTATGCCTCAAATCGAAAACGTACTCAAGTCACAAGGCGAAAAGGTGCCTCGGCCAAATTACGACGGAAGTGCCCCTACTGCGGACGATGGAAGCAAACCAGAAGACGCGGAGGAAGATGAAGAGATGGACAGGAAGCCTAATATCGAAGCTACTAGTGACGAAGACGAGTGAGAGTATCACCTGATAGCACACTCGGCTGCACAGAGACACCCCTTTCAATGGGTGGAGTAGCGAATGGTCGATGATGAGCTTCAATTAGCAAGCGCAGTCCAAGAAACCACCGAAAGATCAAGCATGTCGACATTTGTACATGAACAAAGGCTGTGGTATGTATCGATCGGCCCTTGCGAGGCGTCTAGCTGACATGACAGATGTGGTCTGAAGCATTCTAGCTTCTGGTGATGGACACAATCAAGAGCTGGACTCCCATTCCGCCAGTCGGGATGCAAGGCTTCCCTTCTTCCAATGCTTCTCATAGTCTTCTCTCAGCTGGACTTGGGATTCTGCACCCGCCTTGCCATAACCACCGCCACCAGGTGTCATCTAGAGGAAGAATCAGTCAGCTTGTGCCTCCGAAACCCTTCGCGGAATAGGAACAAATATGACTTACCACAATGATCCTCTCGCCAGGCTGCATGCTAGCAGTGTTCTTGGCTCCGAGGTTGATATACCTCTCCACATACTCATTGTCGTCTCCAGATTCTCGTCTCTTCCCATCATGCTCACCTCCTAAGCCTTTGCTCTCCCCCTTTTTGATCTTCCTTACCCAGATATTCTTACCGCATTGAGCATCACCTCCTCCGTGCAATCCGTAGGGCCTGTACACTCTCCGCTCACTCAAGATGCTGACTTGCACAGGGATACGGAACTCGATGTCGCGAATCACACCATCTCCACCTTTGTGTTGACCCACACCACCACTGCCAGCCCTGAGACTGAACTCCCGCAAGATCACAGGGTATCTGCGCTCAAAGACCTCCGCATCTGTAATCCTAGTGTTTGTCATGTGCGTGTGCACACCACTTGTTCCCTCCCAGTCCTTACCCGCGCCACTTCCACCCGCAATAGTTTCGTAGTATCCGAACCCTTTCTGCTCGGTCCCACCCTTCATATTCCCACCGAAGCCGAATGTCAGGTTGTTGCAGTCTCCTTGGCTCGCTGCACAGGCCTCGAAGCACTTGAACACCACGTCTGTGACACGCTGGCTGGTCAAGACGTTACCGCCCACCACGGCGGCCTTCTCGCTCGGGGAGAGGAAACAACCCGGCGGGATGCGTACTTCTACTGGCTTGAGACATCCCTGGTTCAAAGGGATGTCCTGGTCAATCAGACATCTCAGGCAGTAAATGATGGCCGAGTACGTCACCGCTTCGGGCGCGTTAATGTTGCCATATACCTCTGGACCGGTGCCTTCAAAGTCAAACAGGGCTTCTCCTTTCTCGGGGTCGATCTTGATCTTCAGGCATATGGGGCTGCCATCATCCATGTAGTCAATCGCCTGAAGCTGCTGGCCTTCGAACCTCTTGTACACTTCCTTCAACAACTCCCGCACCGACCGCTCGGCGTTGTCCTGGATGTTCTGCATGTAGAACTGCACGACCTCCTCGCCGTAGTCCTCGATCAGCGCGCTGATCAGGTTGATGCCCTTCTGGTTGGCGGCGATCTGGGCCTTGAGGTCGTTGATGTTGTCAGCCAGGCACCGCGTGCCGCTGCATTCGGGATACTGGGCGGGCTCGTCGTACAGCAGCTCGGTGATGCGCTTCTCGTCGAATTTGCCCTCCGACACGAGCTTCTCCGACTTGATGGCCGCGCCTTCTTGGTACAGCTCGCGCGAATGCGGGGGCATGCTGCCGGGCAAGATGCCGCCAATGTCGGCGTGATGGGCGCGCGAGGCGACGTAGAAGATAATCTTGTCGCCGGAAAAGGCGGGCGTCACGACCGTGATGTCCGGGAGATGCGTGCCCCCGTACTCCGGGTGGTTGGACACGATGACATCCCCGCGCTTCAGTTTGCCCTTCCAGATCTCGGCCTGCGTGCGCACGCACGTCGACATGCTGCCCAGGTGGACGGGCAGGTGCGGGGCGTTGGCGACGAGGCCGCCCTCGGCGTCGAAGAGCGCGCAGGAATAGTCCAGCCGTTCCTTGACGTTGGTGCTCACAGACGTCTTTTGCAGCGCGCGGCCCATCTGTTCTGCGATGGCCATGAAGCGGTGCGCGAAGATGGACAGCAGGATCGGGTCGACTTCCTTTGTGTTGACCTTTTTCACCGTTCCCTCGTCGCCGATGTTGATCACCACGTGTGTCTCGATGATCAGGGCCGACGCCTTGGGGTCGATGATGATGGTCTGCGTCCCGTCCGCGATGATGGCGGGACCCGGGACGCGCGTGCCCACGTCGAGGTCTTCCAGTCGGTAGATCTTTGTGGGAACACGGCCCCCTTCAAAGTAGACCTCCGACGTCGTGTAGGCCTTGTCCTTAGCCACATCCTTGGGGCTGATCTCCTTGAGTTGCTGGTCTGCCGTCTTGGACATGCCCCGGAAGGACTTTCCTATCCCACGCACGCGCACGTCATCCACGATGATGTCTCTGTCGGGAAGGGTGAAGCCGAATTCCTGCTCGTGCTGGCGGACGAACGCAGCGCCAAAGGCCCAGTCGTCTCCGTCATAAAGTTCCTTTGCTTCCTCCGGGCTCGGCTTGATGACCATCAACGCGGATTCCGTGCCGCGATATCGCATGTTGAGGTACTCTTCATACTCGATCGAGTCGTCGGAGAAGCCCTGGTCCTTTAGGCGCTTGCGGGAACGTTCCTTGAGTTCGTTCATCTTTACTTTTAGATCATCTCGGGCGGAGCCCTTTTTCATATCCCAAACGTGGGACTCGGGGACTTGGTTTTCGTCCACGACGTCGGCGAGCGCCATTCCGTAGGCGGACAGGACAGACGAGTATCGGTGGACGAGGATTTGTCTGATCCCCAAGGATTCAGCGATTGCCACGGCATGTTGACCTCCCGCACCGCCAAATGTCGCGAGTCGATGTTGTGAGGTATCGTGCCCTCGGGCCTCAGTTAAGGATCGAATCGGCCTCGTCATGGTCTCATTGGCGATCTTGATGAAGCCGTACGCGACCTCGTCGGCCGACATGCTCTTATCCGTCTTGCTGTTGATCTCCTTTGTGAGCTCTTCGAAGAGCTTCTTGCTGGCTTCGGGATCGAGTCCCTCGTCTTCATTTTTGCCGAAAATCTTGGGGAAGAAGTCCGGGAGCAGTCGACCAAGGAAGAGGTTTGCATCTGTCACGGTGAGCGGACCACCCTTTCTGTAGCATGCTGGTCCAGGGTGTGCACCGGCAGACTCCGGTCCAACGACAAACAAGCCATTTCTGAAGAATAACCGGGAGCCGCCCCCTGCGGCTACAGTGTTTATGTCCAGCTGGGGGGATTGGATGGTGACTCCGGCGGTGGTGGTCTCGAAAACGTGCTCGTATCTCCCGGCACCATATCGACTGACATCCGTGCTCGTACCACCCATATCGAATCCAATGACAGGGGTTTTGGTCTCGGGGTCGTATGAGGTCAATGCATAACCAACAACACCGCCTGCCGGACCGGACAGAATTGCTCGCAAGCCAGAGAACTGATCCACATCCACGAGACCACCGTCAGACTGCATGAATTCACACCTTGCGCCTCTATCGCCTTCTTCCTTCTTGACGCTCTCCGTCCCCAATCCGCCCTCAAAGCCGGCCTGGAAGCCAGAAATGTATTTCCTGATGGCTGGCGTGAGGTAGGCATCCGCACAGGCCGACGTCGCCCGAGGAACCAACTTGATCATAGGCATGAGTTCGTGACTGAGACTTACGTGCTCGAAACCAGTCTCGCGGGCAAGCTTGCCAACCAGCGCTTCGTGATCGGGAAACGTGTACCCGTGCATCAAGCACACCGCCATGCTTCGGAAGCCTTCGTCGAAAAGTTCCTTAAGTTGACCCTTGATTCTATCCTCCTCGGGCCTTCGTAGTATCCTGACGGCCTCCCCCGACAGGCCTTGGACCAGCTCGCTGGTTTTGTAGTTCTCGTGACTGGTTTCCGCTTTCGTCTTGTGCCGGGTAGGATCTTCGGCGTAGTCTTCCAGCGTCACTCTTTCATCCACCTCGACGACTTTCTGATATAGGACGTCTGGTCTTCGAATGGCCAGATCGAAGATCTTCGGGCGAGACTGGTTCCCAATCTCCAAGCAGTCTTTAAACCCCTTGGTCACGACCATGGCCATCTTCTCCCCTTTACGCTCCAGCAATGCATTGGTAGCGACGGTCGTGCCCATGCGAATGCTCTCTATCTTACTCGTGTCGAGTGCTTCGCCTCGGGGAATCTCTCGACCCGTGAACTTCGACATGAGTCTTCGAATCCCTTCCAGGGGCGCATCGTCGTAGTTCGAAGGGTCCTCCGACAGAAGTTTGATGATAATGTCATCTTCCATGCGCCCCGTGCCTGGGTTCCCAACGCAGTCCGTGAACGTCCCCCCTCGCTGTGCCAGGTCAGATTCAGATACCCTGAAGACGAACAGTGGAGGCCTGGTAAACTCACGTCGATGGCAATGCGGATGCCTCTTTCTGCGCCCCCAGCGTCCCCCATTGTGAAGACCTTGATCGAGTTGAAGATGGGGTTTGAAGTCGACGTTCAGCCAAAGAAATGTCCTGTTGTAAGAAGCCGGAACCCAGTCCGGAGAGTCACGCCAGAGCCTCAGATGGTTCTCATAGGAGAAGTCCGTGTCGATGGATCGTCTGCATCCACCTTGCCTGATAACCTGAGGAGGTCGAAGGACAGATTGACTAGCAAATGAAGACAACGCCCAGGGTGGAAGTATACACCTTTAAAGTCGAATCATATAGTTATACCACAATCCTTGTCTGGCATCATGGTACAATGGATGGAAAAGCAGTGGGCGGTTTCGTCATAGCAATTTGTCACTTTGGCGTCTTTCAGATAAAAGTCTCACCGTATTAATTACAGTAGAGAACATAAGCGCGAGATGCATAAATCGCAGAGATGTCCGAACGCTTCTGTGCGAATGCGATGGACATACAGCTCAAGTGAAGAATTGTCATCCAACAACCATTTCCCATGAAATACTTGTACACACCTCTTGCCGGCCGTGTATCCCGAACAGATCCTCTCCAAATCAAAGGACGAGCTAAAGCCAGTTCACCTTCACTTTCATACGCCGCATTGATCTTCGTTCAAAAAAAGTCGCTCAATTCCGTAGTTGAGCAATCGCCTTGTGGGCGGCACATTGGGTAGTCTCCCAGTCCTTCCCACGGAGACTATGAATCAGAGCTCGAGTCTCTATCCTTGCTACTCCCAGATGCTCTCTGAAAGCCTCGTTCGCCACCCTTTGTTATACAGTGCTTGACAACCCACGGATGTCGGAGGACATCATCAAGTGGAATTCGCTTCTCGGGGTCCAGGACCAATAGCTGTAACACGTCGTTAGCAACCTTCCAGAAATACGACAAAATGCGTGATCAACTCACCCGCATGATGAGATCCTTTGCTTCAGGACTGACAAAGCTGGGAACCGTCATGTCGCATCGTGCAATCCTTCGCTGTGTCATGATTGTGGTGTCCTCAAAGGGCGCTTCTCCAACCAGGAACTCATACGTCAAAACACCCAAGCTCCATAGATCGACCTTTTCGTTATAGAAATTGTCGGAGCTTCCAGGCTTAAGCATCTCGGGAGGCAGGTAATCTAATGTGCCGCACATTGTTTGTCTTCGGTTGTTTGGAGCATGCACTGACCAGCCAAAGTCTGAAATCTTGATCTCTCCGTGGATGCCGACCAGAATGTTTTCGGGTTTGATATCTCTGTGCATGACATGCTTTTTGTGCAGATACTTGAGGGCGGCGGCCATCTGAGCAATGTATTGTGCGGCCTTCCACTCCGGGAAACGACCTTCTTTTCGGAGATGCTTATACAGCTCTCCCTTGCCCGCGAATTCGAGGATGAGGAACACTCGCTTGCTGTCGTGAAAATGACCAAAGAGTCTCAGAATATTCGGATGTCTGAGGTTTGACTGAATTTCGATTTCTCTTCGAACTTGCTTCTCCACTTTGCCTTGTTGCAGCTCGGATTTGTGAAGGACCTTGAGAGCGCACACGAAACCCGATGACCTTTCTCGTGCGAGATATACTCGGCCGAACTTTCCCTTTCCGAGCGGTTTTCCTATCTCAAACATCCCAAGGTGGAATTGTTTGGGTGCTTGTGGCTGGTCAAAGAAGAATTTGGGGGCGGATCTATTGCGTATGGAGTCATCGCTCTCATCAGATTCTCGGGCAGCCTGGAGGGCTACCCGCACTGGCGAAGGTGGATGGGTCGGAACAGTTGTTGTGGTTGTTATTGTTGCGATTGAGGCAGTGTTCTGTTTCGATTCTGTGGTGACTTGGAGAGGATACTTGACAAGATTTGTCCGGGATTGAGTTGAGGAAACGGTTGGTAATACTCCCGGACCAGCGCTCTATTGCGACAGAGTTAGGATAAAGTGTGTGAAAGCAAGGAGGGTTATAAAACGAGCAACTTACCTTTGATTTGAGCATTGTTGTCGTGGGTGCCTCATTTTCGTCGTTGACACTGAGGTGTTCGAAGCGAGATTCCAACGTCTTGGTGGCCATTTTGTCGAGTGGTACGGGCAGCGAGAGATGAGGGAACAGACAAACAGGGACGATATTGCAATCTCCAAGATGAATACAGCTGGGCGCAGTTGGGTGCTGTAGTAGTAGCAGTCGGTGGTTTTCGGCGACTCGGTCATCTATCGCAGTCGCACAAGTCTTGGCATAAACACTGATCGTCGGCCAGGGCAACCACCCACGCCACCACTCAGCATGCGGCGTTACACCCTCCCTTGCTTCGCTTCCCCACATTGCGCCAGGCTCAGCACCAAAGACGTTTCTGCGATTTCGTACATCACATCTCGCTCGACACCGAATATCAAGTCCCCCCTTCTCATTCGGACATCCATATTTTTCAAAAAGGGTCCGTGGCAGACCCCTAGGTGACGTCGCGATTGACGTACCATGGCGGTCAGCGGTCATCGGCCACCAGATGGCTTCAACACAGCATTCCCCTCGCCCGCTGCTGCTCCACCGCGATCGTTCTCAATCGAAGGGTTCCGTATCACTACCCAGAAATTGCCCATCTTAAAGGCCGGACCTATCGAAGAGATGACAAATAAGCTGGGAATCGCTCCGCCGGAGATGATTTTTGGTGACAATTTCGTGGCGATTGAACATGCGCCTTCGCACTGGGGGATCAAATTCGATGCCTTTGGGGCGTTAGACCGAGTTGACAAGACCGGGGAGAGGCGGCTGAAGGTTGCCTATTCCCGAGAATGGCAACAGAGCAGAGAAGACACGCATGACATCAAAGAAGTCATCAAACCATTCGATTGGTCCTATACCACTGACTATAAAGGTGATCTTGCGCCTGGCAGCCCAAAATTTCACGCCGCCACTGAAGCCATCCCTTTCGAGCTCTTGAAGCGACCGGATCCGATTCTGTTCTTCGATGACGTGATCTTGTATGAGGATGAGCTTGCCGATAATGGCATTGCAATGCTTTCATGCAAGATCCGCGTCATGCCTGCGCGATTACTCCTCCTCTGCCGGTTCTTCATGAGGCTGGACAATGTGTTGGTCCGAGTACGTGATACCAGGCTATATATCGACTTTGGGAAGAAGGAGGCAATCAGAGAATATATCGCAAAGGAAGAAGCCTATGATAAGGTGCGCGATGACTTGGCGAGCAGGAGAGATGATGTGACTGCTGTGTTACGAGATGCCAATCAAATGGCGGATATCTTGCCTGTCGTTGAAAGAACTACTGAACGAGTCCAACTGGGGACGTGAAATAGATGCTGAACGGGGAGTCGAACAACTACCGGGACAATTCCTAATGTGCTATCGGAAAAGCAGGGTCGGGATGCAAAATTAGCCATGACCCTTGACCCGCCCCAAGGAACGTCAGTTTGGCCGTCTACGCAGGACACTCAGAGAGCCTTCTCTGGAAAGAGACAAGATCTATTGAAGCCACGCTATGGCTACCGTTGTTCCTCTGGTTGGGGGAATGCTCTTTAGCAACGTGGTCGCAACCCGGTATTCTGCAAGTCAAGACAAAAGGGTGTTGTACGTCAAAATGGAACCGCGTCTTGTGCTGCCGACAACGAAGGGTATCAAATGTCTGATAGTGTGCTAGACATCACACGCTAGCGGGAGGCTGGGACTGGGGTGTGGTTTACTACTTAGGGGGGCGACGAAGGCCAGCGCCAGGATGTCGAGTTTGCCAGGCATAAAGGACATGCTTTTCCAGCTTTTATGTAAGGCTACAGGTAGCGCCACGCTGCACTATACGATCTGCAGTACTTCGTACAAGTACGATTACTCAATCCCAGCAGCTACCCTTTGTCTGGGATGAAACCCGAGTGTCCTTTCTCAAGGTCATCGCATCTCGTCTTTGTATTTTGTATGATAGTCTAGACTTTTCTTCTTGCCCTCCTTTCGAATCGTCTTGATTTCAAGGCTATCAAAGTATAAGACGAAAGTGAGACGAAAGAGGACTTGAATCACCGGCCAGATCAATTTTGCGGGATCGAGGCTTCGAGATTGCCATTGTCTGGGCTGGGGTCGGCTATCTTTTCTACAGAACGCGCTGGAAACGCGTGTGACAGAAACTTTAATGTAGGGACATCGACCCCCAAAACGTGCGGCCATCTCGGAGTCCGAGGTCATCGAACCGTGGATAAGATAGCTCAATTTCCTCAGATCAGAATACGAGGGGGTTTAATTGCCCCAGATCGTCAACATGACATAAAATACGATTGCGTCTAGTAATCTGACCCCCGAGGCTGTGTTGGTGGGTGGGCACCCTGCATGCGGCACGAGGAAGAAGACAGTTCATATGTACCCCATGAGAGTTTCGTTTCTTTCCACCCCAACGTGTTTACGTATGCATGACAAGCCTGACCTAACCGTAGGGTCGTGAGTAGAGACAAGTTTTGCGACTTGCCAGCCGGACCCCTTGCAGCCTCGCGACGAGACTCTCTTCAACCAGTCAGTCAGGACTAGTACAGCCAGTGTCACCGATTTCGAAATCCTCTGTTTGATGAGTATGAGTACCGGCATCTCCCCCGAACCACCGCGCTCATCAGGCCAGACGAGGTGGCGGCTTATGTGTACGAGGTACGAGGTATTGGGTCGCGAAAAGTAACATCCACTACGGTGGCAGGGAGGGTTATGTGACGACAGTATACCAATGGCATCCTGGAGCTACTATCGAAGTCTCTCAAGATATAGAAGTACCGAGCACCCGAGGGTACACTACGAACAAGAAGCAAAATACCACTTGATTATTCTAGCCAGAACGATTATGAGAGTTGGTGAATCTCCCCATCTTCGTCTTGATCGAGGAGCGTCATGTCTAAATGACGCGCTGACAGTTGTTTGTATTGCTTAACTTCACTTCTTGCGCTTATGTGTTGGTGAATTAGCAAACAATCGCGCTCGTCCCCCATCTGAAATACGAGTAAGTAGGCATATAATATTATAGCTGTTAGGTTGGGGGCCAGATTAGGCCTTCGAGCGCGTTGCACTCAAGTGATGCTCGGCGACTCGGCTAAAGGCTCAATCACGGCTCAGGTTCATGCGGCCTTCGCTCACCCTCTACCTGGAAAATGTCACCAGATGTGGGTGAATGCTGAGGATCTCCTTTCCGGGAAATGCTATTAACACGAGCACACCCTTTTGACCCTCTTGACCCTCCAGCTCGAACCATCCGAGTGACGTGGATGAAGCCAATTTCCGCCTCCCCAAAAGGGAAAAACGTCGGCCTTGCATCCGGCCAATGACATGGCGTGCTTCTCAGCCTTCTCGCACCCCCTTACCCGTTCCTCGCTTATTCTCTCCAGAACCACCCTCCACCCGTCAAGCCAGCGATCTTTTAGCATGAAGCCACAAGTTCCGCAGCAGGCAGATGACGCCGGCTCGCCCTCTGGGGCCCGGCCTTTCAGGCAAGTCTCGCAAACCCCCAATGCACATGAGATTTCGACAAGGTTGTGCCCTGAAATTTCGTCAACACCACGAGGCACCTCTTTTTCCGACTCAAGTCTCGCCCTATCCCCCCTGCCTTCGCGACTCTCTTCTGAAACTTGGACCAACGCTTGTATGACCTTTGCAGCGACATGGGCACCATAATGGACCACCAGAGAGTGTTTCGTTTGCTGGCTTTGAACATTTTCCTGTGCTTCTGCATTGCATCGCCTTCAGTGCCCATTGCGACAGATCCTATTCTCTCGACTGAAACGATACCAACAGTTATACCTTCTTTGGTGACGATATACTCGATCGTGCCTGCTACCGACGCGGTACCAGACACTGTGACGACAATCACCACTACAATCGATGGCCAAACGACCACCGTAGTATCGACTGGTGTTATAGCCGGCTCGATCACAAGCACGATTATTTCTACCATCTCTCTGACCACAAGTCAAGTAGTCGTCAATACTGTCGGCTACTCGACGATTCTCGGACCAGATCCGACGCCAGCGGTAAGCCTCTACGATTCTATGCGATGCGCAACGGCATTGCGCTTGCAATAGCAGCACTATATGTCGTTAAACAACCTTCTCATGATTGAACTCTCCACGTTCACTTTGACATAGCTAGAGGCTGACCACAACACAATTAGACGACTGCTCCTGTTGTAGCACCAACCACGGCTGCACCAAACCCAGAAACACCGATATTGACCACTTCATCTCCATTAGGAGAGGTTCCCACCAGTTCAAACTTCGAAATCACCAGCACCTTAACGACCTCGAGTTCCATCTCTGCGACATCATCTTCGACAGCAAGCTCATCATCGAGTTCACCGCTCACATCGGCAACTGGTAGCGATCTTTCGTCACAAACCTCGCATTCTTCATCTACATCTAAAGGACTGTCTACTGGTGCCAAAGCTGGAATCGGTGTCGGCGTCGCCCTGGGAGTCATTCTGCTAGCTCTTCTGTCGTTCTTGCTGGGCCAGCGCTACTCACGCCGTCGCAACGAGAATGCCAGGAACAACGCTAGTCTGACTGGCGCCAACGAAAAGGACATATTCCTCGCTGGTCGTCCTTATGAAGCCTCTGGCCCAAGGCTTGATGCTCTTGCCGGCGGCAAGTCGTATGACATGCCGGGCTCAGACTCGGTCAAAAACTACGCGAACAACTCGGATTTATCGGCTTTGCCACCCGTTGGACAAGGAGACGAGCCCATGTATGTGGGTGTTCCTGCGCACATGTCGGGCTCCAAGCGTTGGAGTATGAAGGAATTTGTGAAATGATGCGTGAGCTGTTTGCACAACGATGCATCTTTCGATGAATAACTCCTTGATGCTTTGCCCAGTGACGGGGTCTTACTTCGGGGAGAAACTGGCCAATCAATAGGCGACATCGAACTCGGGATTACCACCGACAGCCAATAAGATCTTTCCGTCTCCCGGACCAACCCAAGCCTTGTCCTTTCAGACATCCAGATGACGGCTGCACCACTATTCACCTGTCAAGTCTTCGATCGCAGACATGCCACTCCGGAAGATACGGGAAATACTGCTTCTGACAGCTACACACACTTGTGTCAGGGTTGAGTCGAATTCAGGATTGATCCATGAGGCAGCGACGCCGTTCGTCCAGGTGGGATATCCCCATCCCACCTACTACCGAGGCTAGTGATTTCTGCACCGAAGAAGCTAAATCAGACAAAACGAAGAAGAGTGGCAGCCACTAGGTGTCGATGTCCGTCGGCACGGAACACTCCGAAGAAGAGGGCAGGGTGGCCCAGAGCATTTGGCAGTCCATTGATGCTGTTCTGTCTAACATCTTATTCACGGTCAAAGGCTATTTGTTTGTTTGGGTTTGGTGATATCTATCTCTACGACGTACATGGAAATGGCACAACAGTACATGGGAGCGAGGGCGTTCCGGGAAAACAAGGGGAACAAGGCAATCCTGCATTTTGGAGGTAGAATCGTGGGGAATAATACACGAGTCGCTGCCGGGGAATACCATCATGACTAGTGCTTAATCCATAATAGCCCCTTCTCTTCTGATGTTGATGCCTGATGTGTGGTTTTGCTCGCTTCGGATCAATTGCCTTCCCAAAAAGGATTAGCCTGCCAAGCTAATGTCACGTGTCGTGAGCTAGCGACAAAATTGGACGATCACCTTCCGCAACGTCCAACTTTTACCTTTTTCACTATCCCTCCAAACGACTTACGTATCCAGAAATCCGCGCTCCTTGATCGTCGCTGACCCCTTGGAATCGCATCTGACACATCTCTACAAGTATATCGGCTTTATCGCGGCGGAGGGTTGAAAGATGCCGGCCCTGTTGGAGGACCCTGAATCCCCTGTAATCTATCGGGCCTCTGGACAGGGTCCGTACCCGACCCCCGACAATCCGCAAATACCTTCGTCGATTTTCCCCAGGCCCGTCACGCTTCGAGACCGTGTGACTGTTGCGACGCTGATTCCATTCTTTTCGCCCGATGCCGTTCCAAAGAGACTGCTGGCATATCTGTCAGAACAGCTCAACAAGGAAATCGAGGGTGGCGACACGTACCCCATGCTCAATCCGCTGCCCCTGGAAACCTTTGGGCCCTATTGGTTTGGTAATTTTGGTACTGTCATGGTCCTTGGTGACATTGGAGGCATTGAAGCCGTAAACGACATGGATCGCGATGGCGTCGACTGGAACAAAAAGTGCCTGGGCAGCTTTTACATCAAGCCCAATTACCCTGGTCGGAGCAGTCATGTCTGCAATGGTGGGTTTCTAGTCACTCCAGCAGCTCGTAACAAAGGCGTCGGAAAGTCAATGGGACAATGCTATCTCGATTGGGCCCCTCAGCTGGTAGGTTTCGGCGGTACGAGCCCAGATAGGGCATATCAAGCTGATGTTCTCCCAGGGATATACCTATTCGGTGTTCAACTTGGTGTACGAAACCAATACTGCTTCAACCAAGATATGGGACTCGCTTGGCTTCAAGAGGATTGGCAGAGTGCCCGGCTGTGGCATATTAAAATCCTCCGAGGAACCGGTTGATGCAATCATCTATGGCAAGGACCTGAAAGCAGAGGGCGAGAATGACATCTCAGAGGAACGCTTTGATAAAATACGATACTATCTAAGACACCAACTCTACCCGCAAGGGGCCGACAGATCGGAGAAAAGCCGGCTAAGGAGTGCCGCCACTCACTACAAACTGGTCGCCGACGGAGATGGAGGCCCAGAGAGGTTGTTTTTGAAGGATAAGGAGGTTATCTCCGACCCTCAAGCACAATACGACATCGCCAAAAAGATTCATCTCCAGGTGCATGCAGGCATCAACAAGACTACCGCCATGATAGCGACTCAGTATCATTGGATCCGGATCAAAGAAACTGTGAGTCACGTGATCAAGAACTGTCCTGAGTGCAAAGACGTCAACAAACCGCCCATAATACGCTCGGAGAATCGACCTGGTCGGAGCAAGACAATTGACGAGGTTCCCCCTGGTCTATCGTCTCTGCAGACAGGAGCAGCTCCAACGGCACCAGCAACAACGGCGCCACCCGCACCGCCGGTGCAGCCCGGTCAGCCCACACAAATCATAGGCGAGGTGCAAACCGTGCCACCGCAGGACCACGAAATCGCGCCGAATCACATAACCGATCACATTCCTGATCACAGTTTTGCGTCGATACAGCAACCCATGGATCTGTCCAACGACCATGATCATCTTGTCAATGACCCAGATGACCATCTTCATGCGTATGACGAGATGGCCATCGACCCGCAGATCATGGAACAGATACAAGCTCAACTTGATGCCGACTACGATCCTAACAACCATACATATGTCACCCCCGGATTACCCACCTTCACGGATACTTCTCATCTGCAATCTCCCCACGATCCGCGCGACTTCAATCACGCACCCTCTGACCATCATTTCATTCGGGATCCCAATCAACCAATCCTGGGACACGACCATGTCATGGACGAGGGTGGCGCAGGCGCAGGATTGAATAGTATGCAGCCCATGCAACACGTATTACAAATGGACTATATGAATCCGCAGGATGAGCAACAATACAAGCTTGAGGAACAATTCAAACTTGAGCGGTAAGGAGCGGGGATGGCGTTTTGGTTTGGTCATGTCTTGATGAGAAACGCATGCGGTTGATAGAAACAAGTCCGGTCTCGATCCAGGCATGTTATTATGGGAACGAGTTCGATATCAATGTATATAGGTGGAGTATAGTCTCGAAGGACGATAAGGACGCATTTAGCAACGAGGCTGGTGCAAATGGATTTTTTGGCCATAGATTAGGGTGACGATAGACAAAAAAGCCCGACGGTAGATGACAGCTCGTTCCAAAGGGGTCTGATTCTCTTGATGAATCCGGGATAAATCCGGTGTGAACGTAACAAATGTCCTGTAGTTCGCTGCATTCAAAATTTGCTGTACTGACTGCGTTGTCGCGTCGGCCGGTTGGGTTATGTGAGGAATATAATTACTGTCTGACAAGGATTTTAGACCAGATTGTCCGCAGATATGCACATACATGTGACACATACCCACCGGTACGTGATGGAATCCGCTTGTCAGACGAAAGGAATTCTATCTCTCGAAATCCGTCAATTCGCCGCCATTTCACCTAAATTCTCAAACCAAACTCATCCTCACAACGAGACCTTAGCATGGATAGTGGCAGGATCAACAGGAGGCCTTCAAGGCCGCCTCCTCGACTAAGAACCAAGACTGGCTGCCACACGTGTAGGGTAAGTCCCCCCCAACCTGGCTTCTCTTGTCCTCAATCACCTTTTGAAGCCAACCCATCCTCTCACCCTGATGCACCAATCGATTATGGATTGACTTTCACTACATCTAACTCACCCGATGCGAGCAGATAAGACGGAAAAAATGCGATGAAGCACGCCCGATCTGCAATGCGTGCAGGAGACTCAATCTCGATTGTGCATATTCGGATCCTTCAAGTCCTACGACGGCATCGCAAACTTCTCCTATCTCATCCCCGGACATTCGAAGCGATGCGGCCAGAGACTCCCCGTTATATGCGTCAACAACGGTCCCGACGCTTCAGAGGGGTTTGAGTTATATGCCCAAGGGACTGAGGACTGAACGTGACTGGAACGTGTTCAACTATTGTTCGACACAGTACATCAGGCTGCTAACCTCGCCTGAAGCTACTTCGAACTTTCGGGATGCCTCCGTTGTATTTGCAATTGGCTTTGAAGAGCCCTGGGTGATGCATTCTGCACTGGCCCCGGCGGCGCTGCATGCCTCCTTTGCTTCCTTGCTCCCCAAGGAGGATGCAATGCTGTACGCCCAGAGTGGTCTCCAAGGGCTCCAACAGGCTCTCCAGCCAACAGCGGGACGAGCCCCTCCTGAAGACGCATACCTTGGAGCTTCGCTATTCCTCGGCATTTTTGAGGGAGGTGACTGCCCTACGCATTCGTGGTTCTCTGATACTAATGTCAACTAGGACTTCTACTGCTCGTCGTCCAGTGCGAGCCTGACACATTATCGCGCCATAGCCAGGATCCTCGAAGATCGGGTTCCAAAAATCCCCCGTCTTGACATTGGCCAGTTGTCAACCTTCCATTCGACTATTCTTGACTCGGTCCTGTATCATTTCTCCACGAGGTTGATATTCGAGAAGGACATTGGCCCTATCTGTGGGTCGTTTCCCTGTCAGACCGTCTTCAAGTACATCGAAGCATTGGAGGCGACAAAGAACAACAGACCCACCGAACCATTTATCCTGCCTGTACTCGGTCGGACGCCGCCAGCGCTATTTGTTCAGATATACCAGATTACGTGGTTGAGCAGGCAGATACCTTTCTGTCGCAATGAGCTCCATGAGCTAGCTTCGCAGTGCCAGACCGAGCTGGCCGCCCTCACGACACACTATCCGGTGATGCTTCCTGACGAGGTGCCGTCTCTAGAGTCCACGGTCACGATCAATGTCAGGAACTCCGAGATCGCGGCGAAGCTCTATTACATAGCGGCAACAATCTTCGCCGCCAAAGTTCTGAATCCAGAGGGTCTAAATAACCAATCCCCACAGATCCAGGCCCATATTTCAAGAGGCGCGACATTGTTGGATATGTACGACGCAACTCTACCCTGCGGGCAATTCACCTGTTGGCCTCTGCTTGTCCTCGGTTGTGCAGCATGTCCAACGACCACATTTGAGGCGCAACAAACTCACCCCAGCAATTTTCAGGCTCTCAATCGACTAGAACTGCGATGTCTCATTCAAGCGAAACTTGTGCAGATCTGGCATGTCTCGTATTCAGGCTACGTCCAGCGCACCTTGGGCGCTTTGAAGAGAATATGGCAACTTCCCAGCATACTTAGAAAGGTCTCGATTGACACATATACTGAGAGCGAAGAAGTTACATTCGACGGACTTTATGCACTCATCCAAAAAGAAGGTCTAGGAGCAGGCCTATTGTCTGCAGAGAATGGCTAATTTGCTGGTCTCCAGCCATTTCGGAGACACCAGCTGAAGTATTACTCTTCCGAGAAATGTCAGCGGAGACATTTGTCAATAATACGAGCTGCACTGATACACTCCTCGTCGCGCATACGGCTTGTGAATATCTGGATTGAGCACGGGGCACCATCCTGCATCTGTGGATCATCTAGACGACTACGTCAGCGAATAAGTCTGCTGGGCATGTTTTTCCACTTACAATGCGGGCCGGCCTGGCCTGGCTGGATCTGGAGAGGCTCAGAGTCTAGTTGCTGCGACGCTTTCGAGAATGGAAGTACACAGGCCGGGTACTGGACATGTCAGCAGGAACCTCGTGGCTGAAGCTGCCCAGAAGACTTACGTCGAGCACATTGACAAAAGCGGAGTATGCTGGCCATCCATATGTGTCGTGAGGAACAGCTGTGTTCTGGGCAGCAGGGCTAATAACGACATCCAGTTTCTCTTCCGACCATATCTTACGCCAATCTTCGCACAGCTCCTGACGCTTGACATTCAGAGCTGCATACTTCTTCAGCTTATCCAGGTTGCCAATATCACGAAGAAACTTGTAGCTTCCAAAATTGGCTGGTCGATGGCCCGCAGCTACAGAAGGAACCGGTGGCTCTCCGCTCGCGAGGATATGTCCTCGCGGAGTTTCTGTCTCGAGACTGAATAGCTCCGCTGCTAGCTCAGTGGCATCAGCCACGTGGCCTTGCTCCGCACTCAGCTGAATCACTTGATGGCCTTGGCCTTTCAGTCTGTTGACAGCCTCTGCAAGTGCTCGTTTCACGGGTGGATGGAGCGGATACAGGGGGTCTTCAGCCAGGACTCCGATCCTGAGCTTCGTCTCAGCCTTTTGCTCAAGCTGACGCCACGGCACGTCGATGGCGGTCGAGTCAAGTGTGGCAGGCACTGAGTCTATGACTGATTTGGTCAAAACCTCCAAGGCTTCAAAATCATTCGCAAGAGGTCCTGCACAGGCGAGTATGGGCTTCCACCCAGGCAACCCGGGTGTCGCTTGACCCCCATATGGAATCCGCGAAGATGTCGGTTTGAAGCCATAGGTACCGCAGCACAACGCTGGAATGCGTATTGAACCAGCGACATCAGTTCCAATACCGAGCGGCGATCCTCGAAAGGCAACCAAGGCACCTTCTCCTCCGCTGGAACCTCCGGCGTTTAGTGCCGTGTTGTGAGGGTTCAAAGCTCGGCCAAAGATATTGTTGTCAGAGTCTGCCGTCATCAGGGTTTGAGGGATATTGGTTTTCACATAGAGTACGGCGCCCAGATTGAGCAGAATGTCGACAAGTGGAGAGTTCTCTTTGGATTTCTTCCCAAGAAACGAGACAAACCCGATTGAAGCCTCAGTGCCAACTACCTGGAAGGAATCCTTGACGCTGATGGGAAGGCCGTGCAAGGGCCCAAGCACCTTCCCTTCACTCCGGCATTGGTCGACATACTTTGCCCGCTGGAGTGCGCTGTCGAAGAATGTCTCGGTCAGACACGAGGTCAGTTGTTGCGCTATTGCAGCCCTCTTCGAAAATGCTGTCGTAACTTCGACAGAAGTGAACTCTCCCGAGGCCAGCTTGGCCAGCAATTGCGGCACCGTGTAGTCTTCGGTGACTGATATCTCACGCTCGGACAAGATCCCCGACTTCCTGACTATGTCCATGTCGAGGAGTCTGTTTGGATTCTTCTCCAGTGGAAAAGCCAGCAACTTGGAGATATCAGAAGGAAGCTGCCATTCTCGCGGAATGGCTTCCAGACACTGCTGTCGCTTTTGAGCGACCCTACTCTGCCAATCCGACAAGGGAGCAGCGTTCTGTTCAGTCATGGCGCCGATTGAGCCCATCTCGTCGACTTGATATTGGTTCCGGTGTCTCTGGTCCTGTTTCTGCACGAGATATTAGCAGTCACTTCAGAGTATTGCTTCAGCGTCTGCTGTGTCTATTCTGTATGGTAAGAAAGTCTTTCTAATCTCCCGAATGATCGGCACCGAGGACGATAGGACGGATTGACTTCAGGTGCAACGCTCTTTTCCGTCTTTGACCCTGCAGGGTACAAAACACGGGGACCAATCAAGTATCTTTGCGCCCTCCAATCATCGGATTTTGCGCCACGTTTGGGTTTGATACCCCGGGCTTTACTCTTCCTCCTCATCCGCCACCATTTGCCAGATAGCCAGGCACGGGAGCGCAAACTCTCGACCCAGACCGCGATTAGTCAGACTTGCCCTCGGTGACTTTGATAGATTATTGAGGCGGAGACCGCAAACGCCTCTTAACGGACTCAGTGACGAATTTCTACCACGTGTGTGAGATCTTTATTTTCCCGGCTAAGTCGTACCCCGGTGAGACTTGCTGGATAGCCAGAGCTCCAAACGGGCCTCCTGAGTACTTCATTATCTTACCTTCTCGCCTTGTCTAGAGGCAACTGGTTTTACCAAGTCCACGAGCTACCGAGATGGCGGAACCGACTATAATATCCCTTTTGCACAGATTGGCTCAAAGGTTGGACCGTGACCCTGGGACGCCAGTCGAGAAGCCTACCGAGGCCTTCTGGCAAGAGCCTCGTCATTCTTTTGCCGACCAACAATCAGAGGCGTTACCCAAGGAATCCGATGTCGTTATCATCGGTTCTGGTATTGCTGGTATAAGCATTGCACAGCATTTACTCCGCTTGCAGCCCTCACAGAATATTACTATGCTTGAGGCCAGGTCGGCGATTTCGGGAGCAACAGGCCGGAATGGTGGGCACATCAAAGCCGTTCCATGGGCCGACTATCACGCTCTCAAGCAAGTGCTCGGTAAAGAAAGCGCAATGAGGATCACGAAATTCCGGCTTGCCCACCTGGATGCTTTTGTCAACGAAGCCACTGCACTTGGTGAAGCCGGCAAAGTTGGCTTGGTACGACGTGTCGAGGGAATAAGCGCTGTTTTCGACAAGGAAAGTTGGGAGTCGGCAAAGGTCAAGCTGGAAGCATGGCTTGAAGACTTTCCAGAACATCGTGAGAATTGGAGTGTGCATGAGGGAGAGGAGGAGCTCAAGGTACTAGGAACTCCCTCGGATGATTTTCTCTTGCTCACCTAGTTCAAAGAAATTCGGCATTGTCAACGCCTACGGGTGCATAAAAGGCCCTTCGGGAGCAGCATGGCCCTATCGATTTCTTGGTTGTGTACTGTCAAAGCTGCTTGCCACTGGTCATGTCAGCCTCGAAACGCACACTATTGCGGAAGAAGTTCGACGGAGTCAATCCCCAAGTCAGCCTTATGAAGTGCGCACATCACGCGGCATCATATCAGCAAAGCATGTCATTCACTGCACAAATGCGTACGCTGCGCATCTGCTCCCCTACCTAAAAGGCAAACTCTGGCCCCTCAGAGGGCAGATGACCGTTCAGTCGGTACCTGTCGAGTTCCCACGACTTGGAGCTTCGAGATCCTGGAGCACAATGTGGGCAACAGGTTTTGACTACATTACTCAATCTCCTGGCGAAGATGGCTCTTTATATCTCGGAGGAGGGCTTCTCCAAGGTGGCCCGGAAAGAGATGAAGACTTTGGAAACGCCGACGATAGCCAGCTGAGTGCGCAATGCCTAGAGCATCTAGAGACAGTACCGTCGAGAGCGTTCGCCCACGGGTCAGGGGCAAAGATAGATAAGAAATGGACGGGGATCATGGGATTCACGGGAGATGGGTTGCCCCTAGTTGACCGCGTTCGAGAATTCATGTCTGGCCGCCCGGAGTGTAGTCCCGAAAATGGTGGTGAGTGGATCGCGGCAGGATGGGATGGATACGGCATGGTTCACTGCTGGCTCGCTGGCAAGGCTCTCGCACACATTGTGATGGGACGCGAGGACGAGGTTACTGAGTGGTTCCCGAGAGAAGAGTTTGGCTGCGGCAAGGAGAGGCTCGACAAGATGAGCCCCGAAGGCGCTCTCAAACGGTTTCTTGGGCTGTTAGAGACATAGAGCCCGTCGAGAAGGCTCTATGAAACCATATCTCGATCAACACGCTCGACGGACACCACGATAATTCATCTATCACATCTATACCTCCGAAAGAGGCAAGCCCAAGCAGCTCAATCTCGACCACGAACCCTGGACCTGTTGGACCCCAGCCACTTATCGGCGCAAAGTGTTTTGATTCGACATGTCGAAGCGGCTTTCAGCGTCAAGCCTGACGGACATCAGCTATACTCCCATTTGTAGGACGATCTACGCTTCTCCGCACATTAAGAGAGGCCGCTAACCTAGACCTAGTCGAGTCGGTGGCAATTGTCCGGAGGAACGGTGAATTGATAAGGGACTTGAGCTGTCATGGGGGTGGCTAATTCGAGAGGTCTACTAAAGGAATGGACGTCCTCGTGCCACAAGTCCATCGATATCTCAAGTGCTTCGATCAGAACACCTCGCTGGCATCACAGGCAGTTGACAATACCGACGACATGACCTACGAAAGACTCCCCCCGGGGACGCAGAGGATCGAGGACCGAACAGGACAGAAGATCCTGCTGGCTCCTCAGCCAAATGCGGATCCCAATCAGCCATTGGTGAGTGTCTGTGTCTGCTTCATGGTCGAATACTTCCTTACCTTTGCGACAGAACTGGTCCGCTTTCCGCAAGTCTGTGCATATGATCATCCTATGCTTTTACGCATTGATGGTGTTTGCCATGTGAGTCTTATTAACCCCCCCCCCACCATGAAGTGTTTTGCGTGAGCTAATGCCTTTCCTCTTCAGCCTCTGCGTCTCGGTGCCCCTCTGGCAAGACTTCAACACCGAGCTTGGGATGAGTTATGCCGTTCTGAACGACGGCTACGCCACAAACATGGCGACCCTATCCGTTGGATGTATCATCTTTGTGCCCATTGCCCTTCGAATCGGTCGAAGGCCAGTCTACATAATCACCGCGTTGGTCATGCTTGGTGCTGCTGTGTGGCAGGGAAAGATGTATACTGTCGGGGACATGATTGGGGCAAATGCCATTTCTGGTCTTGCTGGTGCTGTCAATGAAGCCATCTTCCAGGTCACGGTACGTCCTCTTTCGATCTCCATTGCATCTGGAGATGAATACTAGTGGTCACCCTTACTGACATTGGCTCCCCCAGGTATCGGACCTCTTCTTCGTGCATCAGCGTGGCACCATGAACGGCATTTACCTCGTCGTGGTGCTTGTCGGTAACTATCTGGGCCCGGTTGCCGCTGGCTATGTCGCCGTGTCCCAGCAATGGAGATGGGTCTTTTGGTATTGCACCATCTTCATGGGCGTTGTGGTTTTGGCCATGGTTTTCTTTCTGGAAGAGACCAAATACACGCCACTGGTGTTGACTGGTCGGGAAGTTGTCATCGCCACCTCCATTGAACGGGAGGACAGCCTCACCAAAGTGCGCAGCACCAGCAAGGGCGGCAACACCCTCGGGTCTATTTCCGTCGACGCCACCGACGCTGCCAACAACGAACGTCGCCGTCTTGTCGACATCGACACCTCGATCCCCATGAATTCGTACTGGAAACGCTACTCTCTGTGGTCGTTGAACAAACAAGCATCCACGGAGCAGCGCAGCCTGTGGATGCACTTCTATCAACCTTTCCACATCTTGATCACGTTTCCCGCAGTCATGTTCACGGCGCTGCAGTACGGCTTCTCTATTGCCATGCTGGCGATTCTAGCGGTGACGCAGGCGTCGCTGTATCCATTCCCGCCGTACAATTTCACCCCGATCGGAATTGGTAACATGAACTTGCCGCCGGCCATTGGAGCCCTTCTCGGTGCTCTCTTCGGCGGCCCTCTCAACGACTACTTCATCCTGCAGGTTGCCAAACGGCGAGGTGGCATCTACGAACCCGAAACCCGACTTTGGCTGTTCTTGGTGCCAGGATTTTGCATGCCTATTGGACTGTTCATGTACGGCTTGACCATCTCCAAGGTAAGAATTTCCCGCTCGATACACTCGATATGAATGAATCTGATGTGCTTGTGTGAAGGGAATGGCGTGGCCCATCAACGCTGTTGGGGCTGGGTTCATTGGTGCCGCCATTGGGGGGTGCGGTGACATCTCTCTGACATACTGTCAGGACTGCTATCAATATGTAAGTCGAGCAGGGCCCACTACATTGTTTTCGAAGGCTCTCTTTTTCTCGATAGAAAGATTGTTACTAAACTCCCTTGGCAGATACTCGGTGACGCACTGACATCCGTGGTCTTTGTGCGCAACATCATTTCCACCGCCCTCGTCTTTGCAATCACGCCCTGGATGACCAACATGTAAGTTTATTCATCCGCGTCATTCCCTTGCAGCAGATAGACATACGTGGTGCTAACAACAAAAATACAGGGGGGTCTACAACATGTTTGTCCTGCTGGGTTGTCTCAGCATTGCCGTAGTGTTGACCTGTGTGCCGCTCATTATCTGGGGACGCAAATGGAGAGCCCACTTCGCAGGGCGGTATGAATATTTTGCTGCGAAGCAGTACTGATAACATTAGCGGAGCTGGTATGGACAAGGTCGAGTGGCAATGTTGACCGTAATGAGAGGATCACCCATTCCCGTTCTACCTCTGTATGAGGTGCAAGGAAAGGTTATTCGAAAAGCTAGCTCAAAAGCAACCATTCTAGGAAAGTCTGGTAGAAAAGAAACTGCTGTGACAAGATGAAAGTGCTTGACAAAGACGGGCTTGTAGGCATCTTCTTCTACAGAGCCGAGATATGCCCACCTGATGCCTGGACTCTGACCGTCCATTGGAGTGACTGCACCAACGCCTTCCAGGTGAGGGGGAAATTCTCGAAAAGAGCGCGATGCAGCAGAGGCACGTAATGAAATACGAGGTACCAGCCAATATTGCCAACTCCCTGCCACACAATTTCCGAGTCTCTTGTCTCTGATTTGAGCGGATAAGGCTGAACCCCCGTGGCACGTGACGACGTGGCTTTTGCAGCCCGCTTGGGTGGCTTTTCATTGTTTCCCTCGTAGCGGGGAAAAGCATCGAACGATTCACGTTCTTGGGGCTTGTACCATGCTGTCCAAAGTATCTGGCTTTAGCGAGCGAGAGATGTGACTGCAATGCACCCTTCCTCAACACCAGGGTGGGAAGCGAGACTATCGCCAGGGTTGTCCCTCGCACAGCTTCCCACCAGGCAATTTCCACCCATGGCCTCGCCTAGGTCTGCAGCACTCGTTCCCCCTCCTCCTCTTCCTCCTCGTACCGATATCCGAGACTATTTCTGCAGCCCTTAAAGAGGTGGCACAGGCCCCTGTCCGTGTCCGGGAACACAGGCAGGACAGCAGAGAGCGTGGGTATCCAATGTTTTTTGACAGCAATAAGGCTGAGGGAAGAGCCCGGGCCAGCCAGAGGCGCCGATGAGAAACCCGACCGGCTCCCTGTGTAACCAGGTAGGTTGTTGGACCTTTTCTTCTGCTTTTCTTTCACCGCTTGGGTATCCAACGAGAAGGAATCAGTGTCGGAGAACCGACGTAAAAGGATTTGGTTGAGGCTGGACAAGAAAGAAAAAGAAGAAACTCGTCTCGTCACCTTCATTCCCCCTCCCCAAAGCCTGAAGCTGCATGTCACCGCCAAACAACCCGACCAATGCAAGCCTCACCCAGACCGCGCCGATCTCGTATAGGATTGGCCCGTACGGGGGACAGAAGAGGATTTGGCCCTTATTGATCCGGCACGAGGCCCAGTGTGTCCTCAGCACCCGAGGCCCTCAACCCTTCGAGCAATTCGTCGTTCTCTTCGACAATTTGTTTTTTCTTTCCCTTCACAATCGGGTCCAAACGCCACGATAAGATCACGTCTCATCTGCACTCCTGAGGGCTTTCTCTCTCTGTGTGCGTGCGTGTGTGTCTTGGACACCTGTCCCCTATGATGGCGACGCTGGCTTCTTCACTCCTCCTGCTGCTTGCTCTGTTGACGGCGCAGACGGTGGCCCAGGCTCCTGTAGACCCGCTCCGAAATTTCTGTAGGAGGTATGGCCATCAGACTGCGGTGATTGACCGCAAACTCTACATTGACGGTGGCTGGCTCTATGCCAACCCCATCTCGCAGAATCCCATACCCACAATGAGTACTGCCGAACCTCCTCCCCTCCTCGGGTGTCATGAAGTTTCCGTGCTGACAATGGTCCGCAGATGAAGGCCTACTGTTCTGCGACCTGGACCAGACATATCAAGACATGCCGCCGGAGTATGCCAACCTGACAAAGAACTCGTCGGTCCCGGACGTGGCTGGAGGCACATTGTGGCAAGATGAGGTCAACAAGGTCTTCTGGTTGTACGGTGGCGAGTTCTCGGCGGCGCCGTCGGCGTTCCAGCTCTGGGGTTACGACGTGGTCTTGAACCAGTGGAATCTGTCATCGCCCCATGTGGGATCGACCGCGTCGATACAGAGGGTGTCGTGGGGAGCCGGCGTGGCCAGCAGCGAGATCGGCATGGGGTTCTACTACGGCGGCTATCTCAACAACCTGACCACTCCGCTGTGGACGGGACCACCCCTGGCGACGAGCAATCTGATCATCTACGACATGGACCAGAACAGCCTCACCAACAACACTGGCTACGACAACATCGGCAGGGCCGAGGGCATCATGGTGTACATCCCCGCCTCCATGTCCGGTCTGCTTGTATATTTCGGAGGAGTCACGTTCCCTTATGGCAACGAAACTGAGGTCCCGGTAAGTGAGAGGCCTTCGTGCTCCGTCAACGGCCGCACAGATGACATAGATGACTGACTCTCGTCCAGGCACCCATGAACACCATCATGATCTACGACATTTCCGATGGCAAGTAAAAGCACCAAAATCCCCCCCTACAGGCGAGACCCCCCAGCTGGCTCAGACGCTCATTCATGTTTCTTTCTCTCAATAGCCAAGTGGTATACCCAGACAGCCACCGGTACCATTCCGGAAATGAGACGCAAATTCTGTGGCGGCGCGACTTGGGCGGATGACCAATCTTCGTACAACATGTGAGTTTGTTACTCGTTGAGTATACATACCAGATTGCTGACGTTCTCTTGCCGGTTAGTTACCTATATGGCGGTTTTGGGTTTGGAGAGAACACGACAGTAAGCATGAGATATATTCCCTTCCTGTTCTTCCTTCCTTCTCGCTTGTGTTCCCGTCCTCTGTCTTTCTCTAAAGTTCTTTTTTAGGGCTTCGACGATGTCTACATCTTGACAATGCCGACTTTCGAATGGATCAAATGGTATCCCGACAGCCCAGGCCCAGGGTCACCGCACGGCATGCTCACCTGCAATGTGATTGACCGCGGCCAGATGATAGTCATGGGCGGCAACTTCACCAACACGACGGCGTGCGACGTGCCCGCCATCCAGGGCCAGCATAACCTGAATTTGGGCCAGTACGACAGCACCAACGCCAAATGGTACCCTTACCTGCCAAACCTGACGGATTACTTTGTGCCCCCAGCGATCCTGCAAGTTGCGGGTGGAACGTAAGTTGTCTTTTTTTTTTGTCGGTCGTCGTCTTCGACACCTTTACCCCTGTGAGGAGGGCCTGGTAAACTAGCCATATGAAGAGAGACTGATCTTTTATTGGGCCTTGGTGGAGAACAGACCTGAAGGCGGAGCTATCAAGAAAGCACCAGTGTCTGGCTGGGACGACGACCGCTTGTCAGTGTATTTCAGCGAGAAAGCCGTCGTCGCCGCCCGTACGCCGACGCGTGCCCTTCCTGCAGCGACCACGACGCCTCCGGCCCCGAAACCAACGCCCTCGCATCCGCCGGGCAACAAGACCGACACTGGCGCGATTGTGGGCGGCGCCGTCGGAGGCACTGGCGGCCTGGTATTGGTGATCGCGCTGGCGTGGTGCTGCATACGACGGCGTAAGAACAAGGTTATCAACGAACAAAGTGACAATAACCCCAACAACACCGCGGCGTCTACGGCGGCGACGACACCCATCCCCGGCGCCGCGCAGCCGTTCAGTCCCACCTCGCCGCAACAGCACGGGTACGTGATGAACGAGAAATACTCGACCACGGCGGTGGGCTCGCCAGGCTCGACGACCAGCCGCGTCGGATCGCCGAGCGACCAACTGCACTCATCGTCGCAGTACAGCACGCCGCCGCCCCTGCCTCCTCCTGCACCTGTGCCTCCCCAGCAACTCCCCAGCCACCCAGAATATCCGAACTACTACTACGCCGCGACAGCTCCGATCCCCTCCCCCCAGCAGTATTACCCCGTGGTCATCCCGGGCCAGTCACACCAGCAATACCAACCTCACCACCACCACCAGCAACAACACCACCACCAAGGGTACTCATCACCATACCCTATCCCCATGCACGGCGCGCAAACAGCTCAGGGGATGACCCCGATACCTTTCTACCCGCCTCCGCCTCCGCCACCTTCAGATCCGACTCGCACGCAGTCCCACGAGATGCCTACCGTGCGCAGCCCGGAGATTGTCCAGGTCCACCAGCCGAAGCCGCTGAGGCCTGAGGAAGGGTTGGAGTAGGTCACGAGTCACGGGTGGTACGAGTAGGACTCGGCAGTACGAGGTTCAAGTAGTAGTAATGGGGACTCGATATCGAGGGACTGGCATTCTCTTCTCCCTCTTCATGTACCTCCCCCTTCCCCTCCCCCCCTAAAAGATGATAGAATATCAAGAATGGGAGGCAGGGAGGACTGTGATATTTCTTTGAATGCCGAGGGATTATTTTTTCGGGCACGTTATATAGCTATCTGCCCATGGGTGATACCTGTCTTGCTGTATACCTACCATCTACCTATACTCCTCCCCCCCTCCCATTCGATATCGAGTCCTTAGTTCAATCCCTGCAGTCCTGGAGTTGCCTCGGTCGGTTGAGTAACGACAATAGAACACATATACATGTACAGGTTCCAATATATGATGCAGACAAATTGGAAGCAGAGAGGGACATTACCAAACTGTCGTGTTGGGTCTGGCGTGTGCAGTATTAAATTAATAGTGAAATGAAACCATCCAGAATTGGTAGTTGAGAAGGGGGGGGGGGACGCTAGGAATAAATGCTCCACCGTACAAAAAACTGCGCATCTGGGCACCAATGCTCCGTCGACCATGAAATTCAAAAAGTTCCTCCACACTCCCAGAAAACGTCTTTGGAAGGGGTTGCGAAGTGCGCAATAATTACCACGAAACTCCGTCAAGACAAGTTCTGTGAGATCAAGATGGCAGCAGCTTTTGGCGGGCAAACGCCCACGATCATCGTCCTCAAGGAAGGTTAGTTAAAAAAAAAAAAAACCTCCCTTTCCCCTGCTCAATTACTTGCTTGGACCATATTCCATTCGTTCTGTAATGTTCTGTTCTATTACTCACACCACTGGTGCGTTTGTATTCCCACAGGCACCGACGCATCCCAAGGCAAGCCGCAGGTGATTTCCAACATCAACGCCTGTCTCGCGGTGCAAAACACCATCAAAAGCACCCTGGGTCCCTACGGCGGCGACCTGCTCCTCGTCGATGCGAATGGAAAGCAGACCATCACCAACGACGGCGCCACGGTCATGCGCCTGCTCGACATCGTGCACCCGGCCGCCAGGATCTTGACGGACATCGCGCGGAGTCAGGACGCGGAGGTCGGCGACGGGACAACCTCGGTCGTGGTGCTGGCCGGGGAGATACTCAAGGAGGTCAAAGAGTTGGTCGAGCAGGGTGTGTCGACGCAGACGATCGTCAAGGGCCTGAGGAGGGCGAGTGCGATGGCCATCAACAAGATCAAGGAGATTGCCGTGAGTGTGGACGACGGCGCAAACAGGAGGGAGACGCTCCGAAAACTGGCCGCCACGGCCATGAGCAGTAAACTCATTCATCGGAATTCGGGCTTCTTTACCAAGAGTGAGGGCTACCCCTTAACACAATCAGTGGGCAGTATTTTGTGGGCTCTTAACTAACGAAACACCATTCTAGTGGTTGTCGATGCCGTCCTAAGCCTCGACCAAGACGACCTCAACGAGAAACTCATCGGCATCAAGAAAATCACCGGCGGCGCACTGGAAGACTCTCTGTTCGTCGACGGTGTGGCCTTCAAAAAGACCTTTTCCTACGCCGGCTTCGAACAACAACCCAAATCCTTCAAGAACCCGAAAATCGTGTGTCTAAACGTCGAGCTCGAGCTCAAGGCAGAAAAAGACAACGCGGAGGTGCGCATCGACCAGGTCTCGGAGTACCAAGCGATCGTGGACGCCGAGTGGCAGATTATATATGACAAGATGGAGGCACTGTACAAGACGGGCGCGAAGGTGGTCTTGTCGAAGCTGCCTATCGGAGATCTGGCCACGCAGTATTTTGCTGATAGGGACATATTCTGCGCAGGACGTGTCGCCGCCGACGATCTGGAGCGTGTATGTCAGGCCACAGGAGCCGTCACACAGAGCACTTGCAGCGACATCCTGCCCGCTCACTTGGGGACCTGTGGGTTGTTCGAAGAGCGCCAGATTGGCGGCGAGCGGTATAACCTGTTCAGCCGCTGTCCGGAAGCCAAGACATGCACGTTGATCCTGAGAGGTGGCGCCGAACAGTTCATCGCCGAGGTTGAGCGGTCGCTACACGACGCCATCATGATTGTCAAGCGCGCTCTGAAAAACCACACCATCGTTGCCGGCGGCGGCGCCACCGAGATGGAGATTTCCGGTTACCTACACAGATTTGCCGACAAGAACGTGCCGCACAAGCAACAGGCCGTGGTGAAGGCGTTCGCAAAGGCCCTGGAGTGCATACCGCGCCAACTGTGCGACAATGCAGGTTTCGACGCCACCGATATCCTCAACCGACTGCGCGTCGAACACCGAAAAGGAAACACCTGGGCCGGTGTGGACTTTGACCACGAAGGCGTACGGAACAACATGGACGCCTTTGTCTGGGAGCCCGCGCTGGTCAAGGTCAACGCCGTCTCGGCCGCCGTGGAGGCAGCATGCCTGATTCTCAGCGTCGACGAGACCATCAAGAACGAGGAGAGTCAAGGTCCCCAAGCTCCGGCGCGAGGCTTGCCGCCGGGTGCCGCCCAGCGAGCATTAAGAGGAAGAGGAAGAGGGATGCCGAGAAGGTGACCGAATCCCTTCGTGTCTAGGCTATGGCTATGGCTGGCTGCATTCGACAGGAGTTTACAGTTTCATCGGGTGTCTCCATCAAGCAAGCAGGCAGGCAGGCAGGGAGGCATTTGCAAGAACGGTCCATGCATGCATACAGACCCGCGGCGAAGAAGACATGACTACTACTACTACCTATGAGGAATGAAAAATAAAAGGAGTCTACGCATGATACGAACTAAAGTCCGACTTCTCTCGACAACTGGGCACGATGGACCGCCATCACCAAACGAATTTTCAAGATCAAGATATGCGCCATCTGGCTGATCCGAGTCTCGGTCTGTCTACCTGACCTATCTCGGTATTGGCAGCAGCATGCATGTGTTGCTCCTTTCCAACACAGCACAACAAAGCACAGCACGGCGGAAGCACATGCCCGAAAAACCAAAGTGTTACAAACAAAAAACCTGAGATAGATATGTGACTGCTCTCGACAAAGCAGAGCTCAGCATGTTTGTTTCGCGAAAGGCATTGTTCCCAAAAGATGTCATGCCTATGAGCGGTTGATGTACAATGGCATAGAATAGTTGGGTACCTGAAGAAAGTTCGCAAAGGCAGGCAGTATAACGGATAGTGATCTAGCGACGAATCGCCGCCTCAGGATCACATACACACGTGGTAGAACGTAATACCCAGGGGTTGATACCTCAAGATCGCGATATGAACACAGTAGTCTACCTTCTACCCACCCAGCTGCCACCCTGCCATCTTGCGCGGACGAGGCGGCTTCAATAAGCGAAGTATAGGGGTCTCCTGTACTCGGTACTTTTGTCCGTTCATCGTATCGGCAGCCGCTCCGTTCTGATCCACATGGTAGATGTGACGAAAGGTTTTGCCGTTGCCCTAATCTCGCAACAGTCCATCCCTCAAGAGCATCGTTGGACTCGAGAGAAAGGTAATCTTACCTCGTACTTGGATTGTACACCCACACGTGTGGACGGAACTAGATCTCTCACCAGCCACAAATTGAACTTTGCACAGGATCAAGCTGTGGCTAAGCGTTAGTGATCTTCGCGGGGATGCCGATCCCATCGAGGCTTTGGTGTCGTCTCTCGTGACCTTTGAGGCTGGCAGTGCCCAAACAAGAACTCAAGTAGACTGGCATTGGTAAAGTTAGGAAGGGATACCGCCTCATTGGGCGGTTCCTTTGAACCGGGTGCACCAAATTGTGCGGAGATATGATCGGTGAAGGCTGCAGCTTCCCAATGCAGCCGCACTGCATCTGTTCCGTGCTGGCGTTGGACGATCAGAGAAAACGGTCAAAGCCTGATTTGAGTAGGAGCCCGTATTGCAGGTGACAGAGGCTTCATGATTGATGGGAGCTGCAGAGAAGCTGACCGCAGACCCTTCAGCCCTGGGCTGTAAAGCCAATCAAAGAAAAGTGTACAACAGATCACCATTTGTGGCGGGCTGATCGTGAACGCAAGAAAAGACCTTTGAGCTGTAGTCAACAACGACTTTTCCCTCATGCATTCACTAATGCTGCATCTGCGTAGGCCTCGTGGGAAAGGATGTTTGCCACGTGGACCACTATTCAGATTCGACCAAGAGTCCCTTTCTGGCATTGGAATGGTGTGCGCAATGTACAGATGATGCTCGAATGGATGGCATCAAATGTGATCACCCTGAGCGTACTTGGCCACCATATTTCTCAACTCTAGCAAGAATGCCAGATTGTTTTGAGGCATCGCGTATCGCCAGGGCTCAAGCCTGGGGTGCTTGTAAGGTCATCGTGGGCCATTGAAACTCCCTGGACATACTGATTCGATGTTGCCAGCTGCAGGGGCCCAGGGATAACTTTCGGTGCATGCAGGTTGTTTCAGGAATCATTCACGTTCGTGTGGACAACGCCTGCTCGATCGGGTGGCTGATGCTAACTGGTACTAGGTGGAAAGGTGGTCGGCGCGGGCTGGACTCGTCGAATTCGCACCCTGGCCAAAGGCCCAAATCCCCACCAACCGAAGTGGCAGAGATGGTCAGTGAGCCGGATTCAGAGGAGGCAAAGGGAAAGGGACCGGAGCCGAAACATTCGTCAGCTACTACTTAGACCACTCGTAGTTCGGGCAGCTTCTGGCGCCGATGACAATTGAACAGGGAAACATGGAGAAAGAGAGTAGAGCATCGGTGGCAGTGGATGTGCAGGCAGGGCGCGTAACCTGGTCGAACCTTCGAGCTCATTAACCACACTGCCCACTTGCGCATCTTCAGCTGACTTGATCCAGCACCCACCTTTGACTTTTACATCAATATCTTGTTCAGTGCCCGTCAGCTCTTGTTGACCCTGGTGACCCTCCCTCGCGTGTTTGACTCGGCTAATACGAACACGCACACGTCAACCCCCCGTGCCCCCCGCTCCACCTTTTCGATAGACTAAGGACGAGTCCCCGA